CGTGGCCAATCGTTATGGAAAGATGGCAAAGTTACCATATCAAAGGAAATGTAACTAATGCAATGTGTATATTTTCATAGACAATTGAATCTGAATTAAAGGAGTCACCCCAGAGAAAATGATTGCATGGGAATAATTTGATGTAAATGAATACATGTATATTGTAACATTTTTTCTGAGTGCCTGAAGGTCGATGAAACCGTAACCTTACCATGGCTTCAGTCTTTTGAGCCTTCTGAATAATTGTATAGAGGTTCAAGAGATCATAAGCTTCTAACTATTTGACCAGCTGCCAGAAGGCATACGATATCGTACCCTGTGGGTTTTTTTTATTTATTTTTAAAAGGACCCAAGCAGACAAGAGATTCGGACTAATTTTAATGATTCCAAACCCACTTACATTTTCAGAAGAACACCTTAATGCCATCTTGGAAGGAACATCGCGCCAGTCTGAGACAGATAATCTGGTCTTTGATGCTTTGTATTATCCTGGCACAAACAGCACGTATTGCAGGGATGTACGTCGTTTCCTTCAACCTCACCGTTTATTTGGCGGAGTACTTTCCAGAGTTTAATGTGATTGTGATAGGCTTGGTAACGATAGTCATAGGCTTCCCAGGCTGCATCTTCGGAGGATGGGTATGTGATCGTCTACGGAAAGTTTCTGGAATCCATGGGAGACTCTCTCTGGCACTTCTTCTCATGGTAAACAAATACAATTCATAGATTAAGGTGCCATACGATTTATCACACCTCTTAACACATTTTAAAAGCTTTGTTTTGTTCAAGCAATCGCCTAACTCTCATAAAGAATTTTATGGATAGTCAGATCATTTCAATAGAGTTTTTCCCCCTCAAATCTTATTGTAACACAATGGATAATTTGACAAACCAGAACAAAATTAAATTTCCATAGGCCTATACGCTTGTGGGTGTCTACGTTTATATGTATCTGGAGGCCGTATAATGATAATAATGACACTAACAACATAATAACAATAGGTCATTCAGTTAAGAAAGTGCTTTACAATGACGCTCTGCTTCAACATACAAAACACATGAAGAAAAAAAACCTCGTTTAAACATGAAATACACACGCTAGAAAATATCAATATAAAAATAATCAGTGATGTTCATAAACAATAACATTGAGAGAGTTACAAAAGTAAAGAAAAAATAAACAAGTAATATAGAATCACAACCATGTGTTTACAACACTAATAATGATAAATCGAGGACATCGGAAAGAGTTGTTTGTTGCGGTACTTTTGGCTCTCCTTTATTAATGCTACTAGGGATTTGAAAATGATGAGGGTTAAATCTTTTGGGAAAGTTTACAAGAAATATAGAGGCATTAGAAGCCCTGAAATACAGTCAGATTTATTTGGTTGACTGAAAACACATACATTCGTCCTAGAAATGAGGTTAGCAGCATAATGTATAATTGCAAAGCATTTGATGTTCGATTTGCTTTCATAATGAACGTTCAAATACTTCAATCATTGACGATATCTCAATCGTTGTTACAATGTCCCTCCTTTCAATTATAATGATCATGGTTTTCTTTTTCCACCTCCAGGTTCTCGCGTTAGTATTCGGAGTGTTGATATTCCAAACTTCTCTCACATCCCTGGTGGTTCTATACGGTCTTATGCTGTTCGTCTCTGACTGGGTCTACGTAATCATCCTCTCTGTCATCTCCGATCTTACTCCGTTGGAGTGCAAGATAGTCGTCTTTGCCATCAACTACTTCTTCAACCACTCCGTGGCGGGAGCTATCAACCTTCTCGTCACTCCGTTGGCGTCTGCGACGAGTTTCAGATCAGCGATTACACTCCTAACTGGAACACTTTTTGGGGCATGCTTCATCCTTCTCCTCCTGAGCTTCGGTTGTATGTATATAAAGAAGATAAAGTCTGGGCAGGAGGCTAATCAAAACATTGGAAAAGGAGGAGGAGCGGATGTGACTGAGAAAACTCCCCTGAAATATTCATACAACGGAGAAGATAAGGCTACATTGTGAAATACCATCAGTAAGGACGATGCACTCGCTCTTCTGTACATGGTATACTTATCGAGATGAATGTCATATTTGTCAATATTTTATCAATATTTGTTATAATAAAGACAAAGTAACACCTATATGTCGTTTACCAAGATGAAATGGGCTGATTACTATTTATATGCAGATTAAACCTGTCGTTCTATTTGAATGAATTCTGAAATAACACACGCATTAAATATGTAATAAGAAGAATAAGAGTAATATATGGAAGAGAGTTAGAGAGAGAGAGAGAAAGAAAGAGAAAGAGAGAGAGAGAGAAAGAGAGAGAGAGAGAGAGGGGGGGGGGGAGGTAACCTAACTGAATTTGAAAAAAATAGAAATACAAAATAGGTAGTGCTGCAATCATGTAAATTCTTACAAATATGATTAAATACAAATTCTATATTCTACTTAAAACCGTTACATTTGCATGAAGACCTAATGACTACACAGTATCTTATCAAGGCCGGCTAGGCCTTATTTTTAGTATTATTTAATTCTTCAAAAGTAGTCTTTTTTCGTTAGCTCTAAACGAGTAAATAATAATTGGCAGACGTTCATTTCGGTCTTAATATTACGTGCTTCGAAAGATTGGATTCAAGTCGACCTTTAACAAAATTAAGATATTTTAGATCTAGACCTCTTCAAGAAAACATCGAATCAAATACATCTCTTTCGAACAATGTGAAACGTGTTAGCTAGTTTGACTGGGGTGTTGATAAATAAGCTGACTCTCTCGATATGTTTGATTAATTAAAATCTGTTTCATGATATGAAATGTATATGGTGCAAATGAACAGGAATGTTCCAATCTTCCGATGTTTAATTACGACGCGGCGATCCACAAAATAACATCTTCTGGCGATCGTAAAATAAGCAGCTAACTTTAATTTGCCTATACATGTCTGGGAAAGGTGTCGGAACTACGAGAATTGTGTCAGCAAATACATTTTGGATGTGCATTTCCACAATTTAAAATGATTTAAACCACCCCGATGAATTCATTGACAAATGCACATTTTACTTGTCTTCAAAGGCATGTTTTCAATTATAACTGACATAGCTAGTGGGACACGAAATCACAATTTCCCTCTTTTCTCGAAGTTGAAAATGAGCATTAATTTATTATGTAATAAGTTATATCTAAGTGCCATATTAGTTCTAATATGTTTCCTTAAACCTGAAGTAAAGTCTTTAAAATGTTATTTTTAGTGTTTCCAGGCCAGTTTGTTCGTATCCTTCCTTAATTTCAATGCTAATGGTGATCCGGACGCTTTCCTTCATTGCGACAGGGATAAATAATGACCCGTATTCTTTTTGTAAAAGATATTGAATCACTCATGACCACACATCGGCAGTCGATATCTATTAAAGTTCTTTTTGTTTTAATGCTCAAAAACATATTTTAAAAACATTGTTCGTACGTCTGAAAAATTCTAAAATATGTGTCATATGAATATCTTAACAACACCCTCGAAACAATATACATGTATACACAAGCTCTGAATCTTTGCTCAACAACTGACAACTTATTCCCAAATCTAGACTCTCGTCAAACGATTTTTGCTGTTGAAGTGGCTGCATTAAAAACATGGATCAACGCCTTATTAAAAAAATTCCTCTTTGATGATTAAACAAGAAGTTCTTTACCCTCCTTCTGCCAATGTCCTCCATTTCAATTTTTGGTTTAAAGAAAGGCCTGTTCAGATCTTTGCTTCAAAATAAAGAGACATGACATAAGCATTTGAACTGATAACGGTTAACTTTTGATGAAAGCTGTATCCGTTACTCATGTCAAAAAGCAAATTTGTCTCAAAGAAATCATTTTTTTCTGCTTGGTCGCTTCGCTTCCCTTGCACTTCAAACTGACGTATTCTATATACGTAACGTATACTCTTTTCCTCTCATCTTATTTCTCTGTCTCTGTCTCTCTTTCACTCACTAACTGTATCTCTATCCTCTGTCTGTCTGTCTCTCGCTCTCTCTCTCTCTCTCTCTCTCTCTCTCCCGTCTATGCACAAAGCGTTTGTTTGGTGCCAAAAGGGCGTTAACTCTGTTAAATTGATATGAGTTAACGCCTTCCTGTCTCCACTCAGACGTTAATATAATTCAGTTTAGTCCACCTAGTGGTCTATTGCTTGTATACATTTTTATCTTGAATGATCGGCTTTCACCAGAGGGCGTCTTTGAAAGCTTTAGTCATCGATGCATATAAACATAGTTTGGTGTATCACAGTTGAACACATTACGGCTCAAATTGCATTGATTGTCAAACACACAACATCATAAAGTGCGTCTGCGCGTCCGACAGAAACCGAGTAGGCCACTCTTTATGCATAGTTGGCTCTGTTGATATACTTATGAAAAATATAAAATAAATTAAAAATTATGCTACGAATAATGGCATCTCTCTGGGTGGAATCCACTTCGCATGAATTACGTGTACTTTAAGTCATGGCACTTGAGTTTCGAAGGGGGCTGCAGTGCCCCCTAAGTTCGCCTGTAGTATCACTTATTTTTGCATTAACTTGTTTTCTCTCAAACCGTTTGAAAAAAAAAAAAACAGATCCTAGCGTTTCCGATTAAACACATAAATAAGTAAAAGATGTTTCCTGAAGAGGGTACATTCATTTACTACGTGTTGTTAGGTAGGGCAAGCCATAATGTTTGTCTTACCTAGCAAAAACTAATGTATGATTGTTTTAATAATTTTTAACATTGAGTTACATTTGTTCGTAAAAGGTCAAAGATGTATATTTGTATCGAGGCGATTCACAAAAGCATATGCATAAATGTGGGTACATTACGCAAATGGCCTATTCCAGACGAGCCTTACCAAATGATTTCAAATGAAATATATAAATAAACATTCTTTCTCGTTAAAGTAATAATACAATCAAGTACCGACTTATGTTATGAATGCTTTTGATTCCTACCCCCCCCCCCCCCCAAAAAAGGAGCTTGATTTAGATGTTTTGAAATAAAGACCTCATGCAGAGTGCCTCTCATTGACCTTCGCCATTATGCTCAATGATCGGTCTGTAAAACTAGAGATACTCTGATAGTTGTTTTCTCTTTTAGAAAAAGATAATGGTCATCGACAGACAAAACATCACAGTTATTTTTTATCTAAATAAAATGGTGTAGTTCATGCTATCTTGAAAGTACATTCGGGTTCGCTAATGACTGTCCTCCCTTGCATCATAATCATAACATGACAGAATACACTGTTGGGTGCGAGGTATCTTGAGGTTTCGCAAATGATGTATCAAAGAATTTCGTCTCTTGGTTTGATTTCCTATCTTTCTTCTTCTTCGGAGGACATTAAGTCCACAAGTTCAGAAATGGTTGAGCAAGAAGGGAGACGGAGTAATGGCGGACCACAACAAGGATATGGCACCATCAATGCAGGCTCGACGAGTATCAACTGCGTAAATGCGGCCTACGAAAGCCGGCGCACCGTTGGCAAGAAACGGGATGGGATCAAGTGGCCGGATGGCGGAGCGCAAGCGATTTATGTCATATTCTTACTTACGCTACTAAATGCTGCAAACAAGATGGACAGGTCAGTAAATGATTGAATTTTTAACAGTTTCGTCACAGATTATTGGTCATAAATTTTGTTCCACTTATTTTCGCCGGTTACATTTCGTTCCTGTTTTCACGAAGTGACGGTAGTGAGGAAAATCCGCACGCAAATTGTATGGGATTATCATTCACTACCGTCACTTCGTGAAAATAGGGACGATTTGTTAAAAGACTATCCAATAAACAGTTTAATATCAGATTCAAATTATACCCCTTCTTCGATATGTGGTTGAAACATTGATATTATGGTTCATTTGAAATTTAGCGAATATTCAATGACACCTCGTAAGTCCGTGTTAAAATAGAGGGCATAGATATCCGAACTCCCAATTGGTTTTTCAAGCTATATTTAGAACTGTGTATTTGATATGCAGACTGTTGAAGGCCCGCCCCCCCCCACTCAGTGTTATTTAGGGTACGCATATGCTTGTTCCCTCTTTTTGAAAGCACCCCCTATCTGAGGACTGCCAACATTTCGGAACCCCCCTTTCGCGGGGTTTCCTGCCTTGGAGACCCCCCTAAATCATGAAAAATGCTCAATGTACCCGCTAAATTCGGAATGATTTCTCAGGAGTCCAAAGAGATGAGAGAAAAAAAAAGAAAAAACACCCCCCTTTTTAAAGAAATCTCCGGATGAAAAGTTAATACACCCCTTTTTTTTACAATGCTCGGGCCGGACTTTGTCGCACGAAAAGTACCCCTTTACCGGACATTTTGGTAACACGCATGGGGTCCGTCCGTTCTCGGGGTGGGTGGGAGGGGGGGGGGGGGGGGGGTCCGGGGTTGAAGGTCATAATGCAATTATTTTTTAGTCACGAAAATAGCGAATATATATTGAAACCTCGTAAGTCCGTGTTAAAATAGAGGGCATATTATATTCAAACTCCCAATCGGATTTTCAAGCTACAGTTGTATATTTAGAACCGTGTATTTTATATGCTGACGGTTGAAGGTCATATTACAATTATTTTGTAGTCACAAAAATAGACAAAAACAATGTAAAGGCATTGTAAATGTGAAAATAACTGTAACGAAAAACAAATGAGGGAATGAAGCTCTCGAGCATTCGTCCCCTACCCTCACTTTAGGCTTTGAAATCGTTATTCCACCAACACCGCCCTCCCTTCTTTCCACACCCCCCCCCTCTTTCCACTTCTTCTCCCTTTCTTACCAATTTTCCTTTTTATTTACCGCTTACTTATATGTTGTCTTCTTTAACCCTTCTCAGTTTTTCTTCCTTTCCTTCCCCACCTCCTTCTTCATCTGCCTGTTCTCCTGATCCTTCTCGACCCCTGTACTATGTCTTCTTATCGATGTCAGGTACGTTTTGATCGAGGTAATCAAGGAGATGGCGGAAGATCTCGAGTTCGGGGATCGTAGCTGTTTGAATGCCACCACCCCCATCAACCCCACTGATAACGTCGAGGAAAGAGAGAAATACAGCTGTGACCCTCAGAGGTAAGTCGACGGTCGTCCATCATAGCGATACATATTTAGCGGTCACCTACTTAGTGTTCAGTGGTCAGTATTACTCTTTAGTGGTCAAAATTCGTTTTATTTGTTTGAAAGAATGAAAAGGGTATTTATTCACCTTTGATTAGTTTAAAACATTAAAGCTAAACTTGTAATGACAAAAAGGAAATGTTGATATTGTTTGCTACCTATAACAAACACAAACACATATACGCTGAAGTTGTATCTATAAATACATTAGTTTTCGATTTCTACGATTTTAGTCGATGGAAAGAAAAATGCATAACATTTCCTTAATACTTTTTTTAACGCAGCTTACTTAAAATCCGTCAGTTTCGTTGTGTGAAGTTGAATTTAAAGGTAATATAAAGTTTTGGTATGGGGTCACGAATTTGAATTTGGTCCAAATGAATATATTAGAAGCATATGCGGTTTACAATATTCAATGTCCAATGATCGTTGTCGCGGTTGAAATCGAGTCTAAAGAGATGAAATTGTAAATAATAAACTATTTATGTTGTATATATAGCTCCCTCTCAAGACTGATGTTACTTGAACTTAAAACCAATGTTTCTTGACTACAATCGACCAATTTGCTATTCCCATTTAGAAATTATATATCTGAACTGCATATTCTGAGATTTTCATGGTCGCAGCTACCATAAAATGGCCTTAGGCGCTTTTTGAAATATTTGAAATTTGTATTCAATTTTTCGAAAGCAGAAGTGATTTAGGGCAACATTTTCTAGAGTTTATAATACATCCACAGGGGCATCCAAATATATCAACATTTTAAAGAATTACTATCCATCCACTTTACAAATTTTCCCTAACTTTGCATTTAATACCTTTATTCACAGTCACATCGCCAAACCGACTCCTAAACCGACCAATTCTTGGCCACTGGAGGTAATGTTATTGTTTGTTTGGTCTGTTGTCGGTTCTGGAGTCTGTTTCGTTGGTGTGACTGTGGCGTGAGGTATAGCTTACTTCTAATAATTAATATCAGAGATTGTTTTATAACTACTCAGATATCGTTTTGATTTTTCATTTGAAATCAAACTCGCGTGGTCTATTAACGCAAAACTGCAAGTACAATATTGCACAGTGACGACCTCCTCCTTTCCAAGATGAATAGATTTGCTCCCATCAATGTCTGCAATTAAGTGTGTAATGAGTTTATATTTCATTTCCTCTTTTTTCTTTTACTTATTTATGTGATATCATAAAAAAAAAAATTATCAGTGACAATGAAAATTGTAATATCATAAAATATGCTGATGATATGGTAATCACTGGACATCTTACTGATGAGAATGTAAATGACTATGTCACAACGGTGAATGCTTTCATTGAGTGGTGTGATGCGCACTACCTCCACTTAAACGTATCTAAAACAAAGGAAATGGTGTTTGACTTTCGGAAAAAATCAAATAAACACGATCCGTTATTTCTTCATAATAAGGAGGTTGAACAGGTGAAGGAGTACAAGTACCTGGGAAGCATAGTTACCAACACTTTAGACTGGACTAAAAACACACAAACATTGTGTAAGAAGGGAAACCAAAGACTCTACTTTCTGAGAATGATGAAAAATATTCACGTTGACAGAACAATTCTGGTTTTGTTCTATCAGTCACTAATACAAAGCATTTTAACATACAACGTGATTTGCTTTTACGGAAATGGGACCCAGAAAAACCGGACTCGCTTAGACCGGGTGCGGCGAGCGGCACAGAGAGTGATAGGGCATGATTTGGCTGATATAAACTGTTTGTTCGAACAGAGACTCATGTCCAAAACAAACAAAATCATGAAAGATCAAAATCACCCTCTCAACACCCAGTATTCTTTCAACCGTTCTGGAATTCGATTAAACGTCCCACGCACAAACCGAGCACGCTTCCGCCAATCCTTCGTACCAAACTCTATCCACATGTTCAACCAATTCGTTAAGAGATAATAATAATAATTATTATAATATTAATAATAATAATAATAATAATAATAATATTAATAATAATAACAATAGCAATAATGATTATAATTATTTGAATTTATAAACTGTTATCATAAAGCTATTTCAAAGATATTTCTAATCATCTAATCAAGTTTAACAATTTTGGATGGCTTAAACAATTTTGTATTATTTATGTGAAATGACGAGATCTTTTCTGTTCTGAAATTGCTTGCTTAATTGTTCATATGTTCATATTATTGTACTCTGTTTCTCGTATCATTGTAATGCTGGTGGAAAGCATATTTCCACATTGTGGACGAATAAACTCAAATCAAATCAAATCAAATCGTCAAAATATCCTTTCTCTTTAGGTTTTAGAATAACAGCTGTTAAAAAGTCGATATAATTAGAATTGTTACTTTTCTCTTTAAATACTTATTGATCAAAAAATGTGTCAAGGCATGACATTATTTTTTTTCCGTATTTGTTACGCGGCAGAATAATTACCATTTTTACCTGAACTGAGACTATCAGCACTTTCGCTACAGCGCAAAACAAGACCGTACGAAGGTTCATCAACCATGTTGGTTGATCCTAGTTTTTCCTTCATTTATAATCAAAAACTGAAGGTATGTTTAATTCCGTGCTATTATTCTTATGAGTGTATGTTATGCTAGGATTGTATGTGTATCTTTAATGTTTTTGAGGTTTGTAGGACAAATTTGGGCCTCTTTTGAAGTTTGGATAGTGGTAAAAGTCCGTATTGGTTTTGACTGTGCTTACGGTACTTGTGAAAGTGATTGATAATTTGTAAAATAATTCTTGGTTATATACTTCAAGGAAGTGTAAGAGATGCTGAAATATCTCATGATAGTTTATAAGTTATCTGGAGACGTTCATTATTGTTTTGGTGTCATATTTCATAAATTCGGGATGACACGTGAGACCTATTTTTCTTACGCTATTTTAGGACTTCAGTGAATTGTAGTACTTATACGTACAGATTATATAGCGGAGGGATATTTTTAGACGCCAGGTTAAGTGATTCGCCTTACGGTTAGTCTTGTTTATGTCGCCCTAGGTAATATCGCGTTATTCGTTTTAATATTTGAAAGGGGGATTTTTGTAATGTGATTTATAGTATGCTGAATGGAGTTTTATGTAATTCAGAAATGAGACAAAACAACACATTTTTATTTTGCTTAAAGAAGACACTTTTATTAGAGTAAAGAAGTGAAATGAATAGTTATTTGTTAAGAGTTCGAATGTGGATATTTACTTCTAGTTGCTTTACACTATAGTCTTAAACTTAAATTCACCCTTGAAGGTCATGTATTTACTCAAGTTTGCTTACAAAGAATGTAATCTAAGGAAAAAGGAACAATTTGGGTATTTTGAATCAATAGTCATTCTTTGTTTATTTTTGTTTCTTTACAGGATTCACACGATTGTTGAATGTGCTTTACAGCGCCACAACTATTAAAGGGAAGCTAATTCAAGTCACGCCTCCTGTGTGGTTATTATAACAACGTGGAAGTTTAGACACGGTCTTATAACATTCTTCAACAATCAGGCTGTATAACTATCAACTGAAGATGACTGACATGAAGACTCTAAAGCTGGCGAGGAGAAATCTGAAGGGACAATTGACGAGGACATTAACATCCATTGTCAATCTCTCCGATGAATCTGCAGACCTTAGTCTTCTGAAGCAGTACATCAGCAAGGCTGAAGAACAGTTTGTAAAGGTGGAAGAGAAGCATGCAGAGCTTGTACAGTTCATAGAGAAAGACGAGGAATTTGAGGCTGAGGAAGTCTGGATGACCAACTGCGAGACAGACTTTGTCCAGAAGTTAACTGCTGGTAGGAGAGTTCTCAGCAAGCAGTTGTCGCCACCACCAGTACAGCAGACATCCGAGCAACAGCAGAATGTGACACTCCCAAGCTCTCCTCTCCGCACCTCCTTTCAGAATCAATCTGCAGGTGCCTGTGCCCCTAGGATGGCGAGACTGAAACTACCATCATTTAATGGTGACATCAAAGATTACCGGAGATACAAGGAAATGTTCCAACACTGCACAAGGGAATTGTCAGAAATTGAGTGTTTTTTCCAGTTAGCGGAGTCAATGGTGTCTCAAAGGGAGAGAAACTTGGTCAAAAGCTGTTCAAGCGTAGCAAGGGCATGGGAGATGCTGGATGAACGTTTTGATGACAAGGACCGAGTGGTGGACAGTTTGCTACAAGATTTGGATGGTCTCAAGCCATACGAGTATAAAGGAAAGGTGAATCTTCCAGCTATGGCGCGATTCATCCAGGTACTTCAGAACTTTGAATGCCAGGCGGAAACCATCGGCCTGGCTGGGGAGCTCAATAGCAGAATCATGCTTACCCAAATAAAACAGAAACTCCCAGAAGACCACAGAATGGACTACTACAAAAGTGTTCGGGATGAGAATGCTGACGACTCCATTTCAGGTTTAAGCAAGTGGTTGTTTCGGCAACAAATTCTCATGGAGAAGTCCAAAGCCACCATCGCAGATAGTATGGAACCAAAAAGAGTTTCTAAGTCCTTGACTGCAGCCGTGTCTTGGGACTCCAGAGAGGCTCCTTCATATGCTCGTGATATCCAGAAATGTGCGCTACACCCTAAGAACTCCTCTCATTACCTCAAGATCTGCAACAAGTTCAAAGCCCTAACACTCAAGGAGAAGTATGAAGTCATGAAAGCAAATGGTGTATGTTTCCGTTGTGGTCATAACAACTGTATTGCAGGGAAACCCCCTCATGACCGCAGCAAGTGCCAGTTCAGGGCACCATGCCGAGTCCAGACATGTGGTAGTGACGAGCACTTTCCTGCCATCTGTCCCAAAGCCCATGGTGATGCCAGAGATAAGGATCAGAGAAGTGGCTATGCTAACCAGGCAGACTCTGTGAGGCCCGCTCAGTCTAACAGCTCCATACAGACTTCTACAATCAACCATGTAGGGAAACTGCATGCTACCTTACCTACCGTGATGGGATATCTACGATGTGGCAGCAAACGACACCTAGTACGCATTCTGTTGGATGGAGGCAGTCAGGCCACACTCGTGAGAACAGGAATCTTTCCCAGAATGGAGGGTGATCTTTTCCAGGATCATGACCTTAGCCTTGTTGGCGGCAGTAATATCAAGCGGAAGCTGAGAGTCCTTGATTGTGAGATTGAGGATTTACAAAGGAGTTGGTCTTATCCGTTGACAGCTACTGAGATAGATAAGCCATGCGGGAATACACCTGTCATTTTCCCTGAGCATCTACAGTCCTATGACCACTTGACAGGTGTAGAGATAGATGTGGCCCCATCACCAGTCATTGACCTGCTGCTTGGAGTGGACAATACTCACCTTATGGTATGGGAACAGTACATCAGGGGAAGCAGACCAGATGAGCCAGTTGCGGTTAAATGTCCTCTAGGTTGGTTTGTTCAAGGAGGCCCAGCAGCTAATGCAGCACCACTTCTCAACTACGTCAGTGTAGCTGCTTCAGGATCCCTGGAAGAGTTCATTGGACTCGAGACAGCTGGTTTGGAGCCCAGGAAATGTAAATGCTTCTCTGATGACGAGAAAGGAACTGAATCCATGCAGAAGAGTGTTACTCAGCTACCAGATGGCTCTTATGAGGTTCGCTTACCTTGGAAGCGATCTCCGGAAGAACTACCAGACAACTATGACTATGCAGTTAAAAGGCAGAAGAGCCTGGAGAACCAGTTCCGAGACCGGCCTAATGAGTGGGAAGTCTATTGCCGGCAAATGAGAGACCAATTGGAAAGGGGTGTCTCCCGGCAGGTTTCACAGAACGAGTTGCAACAAGACAGGAATGTAGGAAGAAGGATGTGGTTTCTTCCACACTTTGGGGTTGTTAAAGACTCAAAAACAACTCCAGTCCGGGTGGTTTACGATGGTAAGGCGAAGTTCCAAGGGCGTTCCCTGAATGACTGTCTCATCAAAGGAGAGAATGTTAACTCAAATCTTCTCGAGGTGGCCCTCCGGTTCCGTGAAAATGAAGTGGGCATGATCGCAGACATATCCAAGATGTTCCAGGCTATTAAGATTTCACCAGAGGATGCTCGGTTCCACAGGTTCGTTTTCAGAGAGAATCCAAGCCATCCCATACAAGTCTTTGAGCTTACAACAGTCACTTTCGGGGATAAACCCTCTCCAACCGCAGCAATCATCACCCTCAGACATGTGGCTCGTGAGCATGCACCAGATGATGACAAGATACAGAAAGTGATCGTCGAGCAATTCTATATGGACGACCTGAACGAGTCAGTTAGTAATGCTGAGGAAGCTCTAGAGTTGAAGTCCAAGCTGACAGAGACATTGAAGAAAGGAAACTTCAACTTAAGGAAGTGGCAGTCTAATGTCAAGAAGGTCTGTGATGAGACAGAAAACACAGACACTGCTACTGTCCTAGGTACCAGCTGGGATCTATCTAAGGACACACTGAGAGTGAAGAAGGTCAAACCCCTCGAGGATACTACCCTCACCAAGCGGAAGATTCTTGCTCAAACGGCATCCTATTACGATGTTTTTGGAATGCTTTCCGGACTGTTGGTACGCCCCAAGATTCTTCTTCAAAGGTTGTGGCAGCTGGACCTTGACTGGGACTCCCCTCTTGACCAAGGCAGTGAGCTCTACTCCATGATGAGTAAGATCAACAGAGACCTTAATGAGATGGACGGCATTGAGATCCCAAGATGTCTGATACCAGAGCCTTATAGGGGAACGAGACCCCTACCCATAGTGTCCATGCATGGTGTCAGTGATGCTTCAGAGGACGCCATGGGATTTGCAGTGTGGCTGAGATGGTCACATGCTGACAGCCAAGAAGCTCATCTATCCTTCGTCTGTGCCAGATCTAGAGTGACACCTCTGAAACAGACAAGCATGCCTCGGAAGGAGCTACAAGCTCTTCTCCTTCTATCCAGACTGATGATCACCATCAGAGATGCTCTACGCTTCAGCATAGTCGGATGGAAGATGTGGACAGACAGCATGACAGCGATTAGTTGGCTTAGAGGGCAGTCTAAGACCTTCCGATCTTACGTCGCACATAGAGTCGGTGAGATCACATCTGAATTTGACCCCTACAGTGATATCGCCTACGTTCCCACGGATCAAAATGCTGTTGATCTCATTTCCAGAGGAGGCGTTGTTACAGACATGCAGGAGGTCATCAAGGGCCCAAAGTACTTGAGACTACCTCCTCATTCTTGGCCGAGGACACCAGAAAATGTTCGTGTCAAACCGGGAGATCCTGAACAGAAGAAGTTTCACTCCCGAAACACCAAGATCCTCTCAGTAACTGTGAATGCTGTGTCCAAGAATTCCCCGATTGTTGATGCTACCAAGTTCTCCAGCTGGTCTAAGCTACAGATGGTCACGGCGAGGGTGTTATCCCTCAAGGAGCTTCCCCGGAATCAATGGCTGAAGCAATTCCTCCAGCAGATCTCTGAATGGCCATCCCAAAGAATGATCAAAGAGGCAGAACTGTATTGGGTCAGACAAGCTCAGAAGGAGATAAACTTCCAAGATTCCAATATACAGAAGCTGGACCCATTCTTCGATGAGGACAGTGAAGTGTACCGTGTTGGTGGACGTCTAGGTAGAGCACCGCTGTCGTATGACATTCGCCACCCATATCTTCTTCCGAAGAAGAGTCATATCAGCTTCCTCCTGGTATGCGATAGACATCTACATGCCCTTCATGGTGGTCATTTGCGGACAGCAAATGAGGTTCGGAAGAAGTACTGGATAGTGGGGGACATGAACATTGCACGACGTGTTGTACGCTGTTGCATCACTTGCAGACGGCATAGAGGCAAACCGACGAACCAGAGGATGGCTGATTTACCAGAGTTTCGGGTCAGCCCATGTTCGCCACCCTTCAAGACTACCTTGGTGGACTACCTAGGCCCAGTAATGGTGAAACTGAATCGTAATACCACGACCAAGGGATATGGTGCCTTATTCACATGTGCGGTTACCAGGGCTGTCCACCTGACAGTAGTCCAAGACCTATCAACTCAGGCATTCCTTCAAGCCTTAGAAAGGTTTGTCAGTATTAGAGGAGCACCAGCCATGATGGTTAGTGACAATGCTACTTGTTTCCGAGGGGCTGACAACACGATCAATGAGCTGAACCTTAAGCTGAACCAAACGCAGGTCCGGGAGCACTGTCAACGTTATAAGGTTGAGTGGAAGTTCGGACCACCGGGAGGACCCCATCACCAAGGGGCAGTAGAGCGCATGGTCCAAGAAGTAAAGAAAGCTATGAGGCACCTTGTGAAGGCTGACCGTCTGACCTTCGTAGAATGGGAGACTGTTTTCTGCAAGATTTCAGGGCTCATCAACAGCCGTCCCCTGACTGCGATGTCATCGTCGCCTCTCGATCATCCACCGCTGACTCCCAATCACTTTCTCATTGGGAGAGGAGATCTGAACTGCCCTGATATTCCTTGTGAGGACTACAAGGGAGATCTACGGAAACGCCGTGAACTGTGTAATACAATGGTGGAGGGTTTTTGGCGTAGATGGATGGAGTACACCCACAAGTTGGCACCACGTCAGAAGTGGCAACGATCTTCAGACAACGTGGAAGAGAACGATATCGTCCTCGTCATCGGTGATGACAGAAAACGCGGGTCGTGGAAGATGGCCGAGGTAGTCAGGACTCAGCCTGGACAGGATGGCCTTGTTAGAGTCGTCGAAGTGAAATACGCAGATGGGACGCGTGCCACCAGGCCGATCACAAAACTTGTATCCCTGATGAAGCGAGATGAACGTTCAGACATTTAAACAGCTTGAAGAAAAATTCAGACATTTAAAGGTTCAAGAACTGTTGATTACTGGACATTTGAACAGCTCGAAGAAAAATTGCTATTAATGGGCAATTTATAGAGGATAGTGATTTCGTTGTATTTCTCTTTGATCTTATAAGTGTTCCATTTAGTCTTTAAATCATGTTTTATTGTGTTTTTGTGACATTCCGTCACGCTTAGGGGGTCGGGATGTCAAGGCATGACATTATTTTTTTTCCGTATTTGTTACGCGGCAGAATAATTACCATTTTTACCTGAACTGAGACTATCAGCACTTTCGCTACAGCGCAAAACAAGACCGTACGAAGGTTCATCAACCATGTTGGTTGATCCTAGTTTTTCCTTCATTTATAATCAAAAACTGAAGGTATGTTTAATTCCGTGCTATTATTCTTATGAGTGTATGTTATGCTAGGATTGTATGTGTATCTTTAATGTTTTTGAGGTTTGTAGGACAAATTTGGGCCTCTTTTGAAGTTTGGATAGTGGTAAAAGTCCGTATTGGTTTTGACTGTGCTTACGGTACTTGTGAAAGTGATTGATAATTTGTAAAATAATTCTTGGTTATATACTTCAAGGAAGTGTAAGAGATGCTGAAATATCTCATGATAGTTTATAAGTTATCTGGAGACGTTCATTATTGTTTTGGTGTCATATTTCATAAATTCGGGATGACACGTGAGACCTATTTTTCTTACGCTATTTTAGGACTTCAGTGAATTGTAGTACTTATACGTACAGATTATATAGCGGAGGGATATTTTTAGACGCCAGGTTAAGTGATTCGCCTTACGGTTAGTCTTGTTTATGTCGCCCTAGGTAATATCGCGTTATTCGTTTTAATATTTGAAAGGGGGATTTTTGTAATGTGATTTATAGTATGCTGAATGGAGTTTTATGTAATTCAGAAATGAGACAAAACAACACATTTTTATTTTGCTTAAAGAAGACACTTTTATTAGAGTAAAGAAGTGAAATGAATAGTTATTTGTTAAGAGTTCGAATGTGGATATTTACTTCTAGTTGCTTTACACTATAGTCTTAAACTTAAATTCACCCTTGAAGGTCATGTATTTACTCAAGTTTGCTTACAAAGAATGTAATCTAAGGAAAAAGGAACAATTTGGGTATTTTGAATCAATAGTCATTCTTTGTTTATTTTTGTTTCTTTACAGGATTCACACGATTGTTGAATGTGCTTTACAGCGCCACAACTATTAAAGGGAAGCTAATTCAAGTCACGCCTCCTGTGTGGTTATTATAACAACGTGGAAGTTTAGACACGGTCTTATAACAAAATGCATCAGGAATTAAAAACAAGTCACAAAACTATTGCTGCTTAGTCTAATTAGGTGGTCTGTCGATGACAGATCACCTATTGATTTCGTTAGAATTTTCTTTCTTTATTCTTTATTCTTTATTCTTTATTTATTTTTATTTCTTCCGTACACTTTTTTTGTGTATACGTTTACTCGAAATCGACTTGGTCAAATTCCTTCAAATTTCTGATAGTCATTAGGCCCTATAATATCAAGTTCCCGAAACCTTTTTCAAGTTCATGGGGTCATCGTGACGTCATCCAGGCGCCATTTTGTAAAAATCAAGTCATTATCATATCTCGATAACGAGTCTTCAAAAATAAACCATATTTGGTATACATCAACTTCAGGTCAAAGTTCAACTAAAAATGTCAACAAAATTTGCGCGCGCACCTCGACGCGCACGTACGCGCGCATTAAAATTTTAAAATGCTCAAATTCGTTCCAAATTTTTTTTGCACACGTTTCAGGCAATTGTAAGCATTTTCAAGATTTTGCGCGAGAGCACTTTTTTGCGCGCGTTTCCGCGCGTAAGTGCGCGTACTGACATTTTACAACATGGAAACGCCAAATTTTCTCTATCATATCAACCACATTTTTCCAAGCATTTTGATACCTTGTTCACCTTTTTCTGACCAGTGATAACGCAATGAGCGTCCGTCAAAGTTTACAGCACACGCGGATCTGCATTATCCCTATCCACATTACATGTGCAAAAACAAGCCTATACAAAATTCATTTTAACTCTTCAGAATGGATAGATACCCCCAATTTTTTTCATATTTAGATAGATCATGAGTCGGAGATATGATTTCATGTCTCATTTGACCCTCAATTAACTCATGACGTCATCATAATGGCCTCCGAACTTAAAATTTCAATTTGCATATTATGACGTTAGCAGATTTTTGGAAAATTGATTGTATCTCTGTAAATGTTGATCAATTTTCTTTCAAATTTTGATATGTTTTAGCTGAGAATATTTTCTACGAATGTATTTCACACGATATTTCATTTGAACAATGGCATCATGGCGTATTTTTGCGATTAAAGGAGGCATGTCAATTTTTCACATTTTGCGTGTATTCTCTATGGGACATGACTTTTTCTCAAAACTGGTTTCTACATTCTTGTCTTTCGCGAGCAATATCTCCGTCGTTTTATCTTCGTTTACGCTGAGCTTTGAGTATGTTGTAGCTGAGTCAATATGCTATCGTAAGTGTGCCCTTTAATTTTCGATCAGATGCCGGGATCATGCTCATATTTCACTTACAAAGTGGGATTTGATAATTCCATTTTCCGTTTACGTGTAATCTCTATGGGAAATATTTTGGTACATCGGTAACGCACTTGACTTCCGACCTCGAAGTCCCTGGTTCGAGTCCGGGCGTCTCCAACAATTTTTTTCTTCACTTTTTTTTTCTTTTTGACCTTTCACTGTACCTTTTCCTTTGCTTATTAAAACACGTAGAATCACAAATAATGTTATAAACAACCATGTTTACTTTATTATTCCCCTATTATCACTTGATCCATTACTTTTTGAGTGTAGTCCCTATGGGAGATGACTTTTTCTCAAATCTGGATTCTACATTCCTGTCTTTTGCGAGCAATATCGCCGTTAATTCCGTTTGGTTTTTGTTGATTTTGGAGTATGTTGTAGCTGAGACTATATGCTATCTAAATGTTCCCTCATTTTTTTCAATCAGATGTCATCATGGTCTGTTGATGATCATCATCAACATCATCATGATGATCATCATCATCATCAACATCGTCATCACCATTACTATCAGGATCATCATCATCATGATCATCATGATGATCATCATTGTTTACATGTCTACATAACTTCTCCCTTTCTCAATATAGTAAGTATTATAATCTATCATAAGACTTGAAGACAGACCACCTTAATCGTCCTCGTGACGATTTAAATTCTAGTTTTGTAAATATTTTGTGAGTATGATGGTTGCTTAATCCACCTATACAGATGCAAGGAGACAGAAATTGTGAGCCTCAACGATACCGCCTCAAATGTGACGTCATGTCATTGGGTCTACTGGGGAACGGGTCTCGAGTACCAACTTCTGGCCGGTCCTGCATTCATCGTGGTCGTGGGACTGATGAGGATCCCTCTCACCTTCGTCATGGAGCACGGCCGCATCAACGGACGGAACATCCTGGTCGGCTGCGCCATCGCCTGGAGCACGGCCACATTGCTTACGGGGTTCGCTACCCAAGTTTGGCATGTCTACGTTTGCCGTGTTCTGCTTGGTCTCTTGTGAGTAATATTGTGAAGGAGCCCCAAATAATATCAGCTCAAGCTTTCAGGGGCGGATCTACCGGGGGAGGGTTGAGGGGGTTTAACCCCCCCCCCCCCCTTGGGCGGCCAAAAAATAAGTAAAACTTTTTTTAAATCGCAATATCGGAGGCAATTTTTTTAATGCTCACTACCCCCCCCCCCCCGCTTCCCCCTTAGCAAAAACCTAGATCCGCCCCTGGCTTTGATATAAATAGGACCATAAGATGGACTGTATGATGGGGATTCGGGTGTCTGGACACTTAACAAACATAAAGACTTCTCCTTTGCCTTCAGATTTCACAGAAAGTATTTATCAAACAGCACTAACCATTCATAGATATTGGTTCGCTACCCAAATTTGGCATGTCTAATTATAATATATTGTGGCCTTTAAAATATGAGTTCAAAGCTGGGAATGTTGATCATACGCTCAGTGATCTAATTTTGTAATTTTTCATGTTGCATAGGTTAAACTCAAAGCATGATTCAAAAAAATGTTGCCAATTATAATGATACGATTTTCTTTCCTCAGTCAGGCCCCGTTCAGCCCCTTTTCCGTTGCCCTGGTAACAGCATACTCCCCGCCGGTAAGTGTGTTAGCAGTCTTAAAGAGAAATTAACCTCAAACAACATGTTAATTTTAGTTTGCAGGCCATTTAAAACATTACCTAAAAAATAAAAACATCATACATAAATATTTTGACGAAAGAAAGGACGTAAATCTTCTCCAGACTCCTCCGTCTTTGGCGGGTGAGAGAATTGTCAGAGTGTCGCCATTGTGTTTGCGCACGACCCGTTCTTTCAGGTATCGCATGGCCAGGCGCGTACGCATGGCGGGGGGGGGGGGGGGGGGGGGGGGGGGGGGGGGGGGTCACCCCCCTCAATTTATTGAACGAAATATCGGTCAGCATAATTTTCCAATTTCCGGGACAAAACAAAAATATGTGCTCTGAACTCAACGCAATGATTATTTTAACATTTCTAATACTTTCTTAACTTCCTCAATATCGAAGTATTTTATATTTCTTTGTATTTCAAATAACATTTTAATGATGAAATAAAATTATTTATTAACCTCTTTGGATTGGTTGGTACTTCTCCAAAGTTCCGCTTTACGTAGTTTTTGTATATAACCAGTTGAGCATAATTTATCCAAAAATTAAGTAAAGTAATTTTTTTATTTTATTTTATATCCAATCAATAACATTTTCATATCAATTTTAATTTCTATTTTAAAAATGAAATATATAATTCTTGAGATAATTTTCCAGAAAACTGTTAATTTCTTGCAACGAAATATAAAATGTTCAATAGTTTCTTTTTCACGACAAATTTCACTTTCGTTAGACTGTACGATTTTCCATATAAAGAGATTGTCTTTAGATGGCAATATTCTATGAATTAATTTAAAATTATATTGTTTGATCTTATTGTCTCTTATGCTATTAAATTTGATCTGAAATACATCTTTCCAAACAAATGTTTCTGGTAGGCCTAAAATATTTTGCCAAAAATGGAAACCAAATTTCTCTTTTTTTCCTTTCTAGCATTAAATTATAATAACTTTTCGCCGTAGTAAATTCAACGTTTAAAACATCTAAAGTTGTCTCAATGTACATTGTTTCATTGAGACTTGAAGCTTTGTTTAAACGTAAATTTTGTGACCAATATTTTGGGAATGCTTTTTTTAATTTTGACATTTTAAATGAAAACAACAGATTCTTTACATCAAAATGGTTACATCAACACTCCAGGGCAATATAAATACCTTTTGTATAGTCTTTAAAAATGATGTTTGGATTACTTGAAACATCATTGTAAAATACACATATTCCAATCAGTGATGGGCGTGGCTTTTGAAATTTATGGAGGTTAATTTTGGAAAGTTTTTGCGATCGTTTTTTTTTCTGTTTTAGTTTAACTTCACCAGTAATGGGATAATTCTTCATTTAGTCTCTTAATCTCAATATTCATTAAAGGTACTATGTCCCTTTTGCAGCCAACCTCAAATGCTGTAGAACTTTGCAGGAATTATGAATATGTCATGTATGTCCTATCTGTGAAATTTAAACGTTAGCAGTGTCCTCATATTCAAATTATGCAAGGAAACCCATTTACTTGCTAGACTTCACTGTCAGACACTATTGAGTGACTGGCTTTTTTTTCCTTTGGTAATAACATACATGAAAAGAGTCGTAAAGGGTACATGAGCATTTGTCTACATCAATAACCCACTTCTTGTAATGGCCAAAATTAAACTGATTGAATATTTGCGCAGCATAAAACGTATGGCCATTCGGTATTGTCTGAAAATCAAGACTATTACTTTTGGGCTCTATAGCCCTAAAGTCGATTTGACAACTAATATTCGTTATTTTCCCACTTGAAGACATTTTCAAGCCCCACCTTTTTTTAGGAAAGTTCTAAATTAGTATTATCTTTCAAATGCAGTTGGAATTTAACTTTTTCATTTTTTGGCTTGCAAATGGGACATAGTACCTTTAAAAGCATCAAAGATTGTTCAACTTAAAGAGAAGGTTAAGTTCTGGGAAGAGGTGAAAAATAATTTGTGAGCGTTATCATTCTTATTATGCAAGTGTGGAAGAACATCAGATAAGACATGTTCCCTGAAAAGCATGGGTCTTCAAATGCCTTCATATTCTAAATATGTCATGTAACATCGTAAAACTCCAGGGTAGGATTTTTACGCCACGTGTTCGTCTAGTCCCATATAGCCTACATCTTTCTGTGTACAGTGTTTGAAACTTTACCAAGACTTGGCCAAATTTCTTATCATTTTGATGATTCCAGAACCTTGCAATACACACAAATTCTTATATGCTAGATGATCAACCTTTTCTGGTCGATTCCACACCGTTTCTTTCACAATGCAATCGCGTGACCAGAACTCAACTTCATCTTTAAATCTGGTTTGCTTCACAATGTGTTGTTGCTGTTCCTTTCTCCGTGCTGCTTTCAGCAACTGCGTGGTCTAGCCATGAGCATCTTAAACAGCGGTATCGCAATAGGATACGCCCTGGCCTACGGGTTAGGTTTCCTGAAGGAGGCGGCCGGCTGGCGGTGGGCCTACTGGGTTGCTGGCAGCCCAGGAGTGATCGTCGCTATCATTATGCTGTTCACCTTGCAGAATCCCGACAAGCTCATTCAGGTATGTGTGTTTGAAAAGCTTTCCAGGCACAGGCATAGGCGTATGTGACGAGGGAAGGGGGCTAGGGGTCTGCATCCCCCCCCCGTATTTGTAAAGTTCCAATATTCAGGCTACCACCTCATATTCGGGCAGCGAGGTGCCAGAATATCCTCAATTTCGAAGACTGGGGGGGGGGGGGGGGGGGGGGGTGGTGGGAGAATATTCATATTTGGGGACAGAGATGTCCGAAAAGTTTTATATTTGGATAAGCCGGATATGTGCCCGAATTGTGTATTTTCTGAAATATTTCGCCACAAACAAAATGTCACACAATTTTAGAGCAAAAATATCGAGTAGCAACTATATATTAGTGAAATCAAAAGAAAAAAAACAAACAAACAGCCCAAATAGAACTTGTTAAAGGTTTTGAATTTATTGATGCTTAATTCACCTTTTGTGTATTGAGATAAATATATCTCACATAAAATTAGATTCGATGTGTTGAGTTGATAAAAAGGTAGACCAGTAAACTGGTCGATTGTCTTTACAATTCTATATTTCTCCCATTTCTTCGATTTGTAACCTCCAAGTCGACAATGAAGGTCATTAAAACCCTAACCCTTACCCAATGGTTTTGACGAAAGAAAGGTCGCGTAGTTAATGCCGGACCACCAAATGGCATATCCTCTATGTTTATCCATCTCATTTTAATAATAATTTGTTACAAATGTTGTATTATCATGTTCTGTATGTATATGACTGAAAGCATAACATATTGATAATGGGAATAAGTAACTGTTACTTATTACCATTATCGTTTCATTATCAATATGTTATGCTTTCAGTCATCGTTTATTATATTATGTATATCTTATTCTGAAGTTTTATATGATATTCATTTGTACATGTAGGCCTATTCAAATATGTTATTCAGAGATTTATTTTTTTTAATATATAAAATGGCCTGTCGGAGGTTCCAAAAAACTATTTAAAAATAATGTTTATCCATCTCAGAAGCAGACTACTCAATCGTTGATCAAGATGGGGCGGTGCGAGCAGCTCATCTTCCAAAACTGGGCCACCATCGTCCCCCTCATCCTCGGGTCCGCCCTCCGCTTCGGGGCGACGTACATCTTCAACTACAACATCAACAACTACCTGTTGTACTATTACCCTCACTTCCCCGTCCATAACTACCTGAGCTGGACCCCGATCCTGTCTGGTTTCGGCGGCATACTCTTCGGTGGGATTCTGAGTGATGTCGCTCGGAGGAGATACGGGGTGGAGGGCAGGATGTGTATACAGATCGTGTTATCCGTAAGCCTCTATTTTACAGCTCAAGATGAAAATTTTATTTATGTGGCCCGTTACCCGGGGCAACTGGCATTAAAAAAAAAACTATTGACCGGTAAGCGGGCACGGCTAAAATCACGCCTCCAATTTCGACCAATCAGATGGCTAGATTTCTAAAGAGAGGTATATAAATGCATTATTCTGCAAGCCTATTTGTTTTAATGAAACCTTTTGAGGAAAATGGATAATTGGAAATTGACTCTGAAAAAAAAATGGCGGATCGTCTGGAATTCGAATTTTTCTTTTGTGAAAAAGGCAAGTCTTTGACAAGTCTTAAATGTACTCCAATGATGATTTGAGATATGGAAACAGAGGTTATCAAAAACACTTATAAAAAAAGTAGTGTGTAAAATCGTTTTGTCATAAAATTTTGATCAAAATTTCTATTCCGATAGGACATCAATGCTTTGAATATTTGCGGATAAAATGTAGTAGCCTAGACGCATTGATAATTTCTTTTATTTTTTGACGTATCCAAAATTGAAATATTTTACCCAATTAATGTATGTAAACAAATATTATTGTGTTTAATATTCTCCACTCAGTCTGTGTAAATTTCCCTCGAAAGTTTTGGTGGCAGTCTTTTGTACAAATTTACAGCAAACATAAGGAAGCTTCGATGTTTCTTTATTCTTATTAAATACTACCGCCACAATGTGTTCTGTACTTCTATTAGGTAATCTGCGCCCCTGTCATGACATTGATCTTCTTCCTCGAGCCCCCTGCCGTCTTCGCCGCCGCAGCCGTCGGGACCTCGATTGCCGACGCGTGGACCGGAGGCACCGTCTCCACACTCACCGAGCTCATCCCACCGGGTCTCCGGCCGTCCTTCTTCGCCGTCTACTACTGTCTCATCAACACCGTCGGCGGGACGCTTAACATCACCCTGCCGGCGCTGCGGCGGGCAATGCACTTCCGGTATGCTATGATCATGGCGGTGATAGGGCTGATCTCGCTCGGGACCGTCCTCTTTACGTTGGGTTTCTTCGCGATGGTGTGCTCCCGACGACGACGACGACGGTACCGCGGCGATGAGAACGAGAACGAGAACGAGACGGAGGATGAAAACTCCAATGAAACCATAACCCCTACACTGAATTAAGGGTATACATGATTATACAATCAAACTGGTCATATTTAAAGGTCACCTGTCTATAGTGGTCACTTTGTGTTATCACCCTCTAGAAAAAAAGAAAAAGATTCAAAGAATCTGTCTAGAAAGGCCACCTGATTATTAATTCATGTATACCCATACCCCTAATAAATGTGAGCGGTAAGACCTCTCTTTTAAGACCACCTGTCTATAGTGGTCGAGTAACTCTAAATTGTTTAATTTTTCAAGAAATACACAATGTACGTGTTGTATAAATTAACCCCATCTATAAATAACAATAATCTTTTAATGGTCCACTCTAAATTTTATTTTTATTAAATTAAACCGAAAATGGAAATTCTTTTTGCCCAATTGATTGTGAGCCCGGCAGCCACTGAGCAGCGCCAGATCGACGTTGCTCTATCCCTTTATTGTTGAGCGTCAAACAAGGTAGCAGCAACTCCCGTCTTTTGGTATGACGCGAACCCAGGGTTCGAACCCACGACCTCCCGGTTGTGAGGCGGACGCTCTACTGACTGAGCCAACACACCGGTATAAAAGCAACATAAAGCAACATATAGCGCCATTTCGTCTTTTTCATGTGGAAGGCCTGTATAGACAGGTTTGACTGTATCCTTCGCTTCTCAGACCTAGATTGTTGTCTTACACATCTTCTCAATACTCCACAAATTTATTAAAAGCTTTATTACATTTTATTATTTTGTTCATTTATTTGTTTTTATTACTATCGGTATTACTGTTTTTATTATTAATATCGGTATTACTGTTTTTATTATTACTATCGGTATTACTGTTTTTATTATTATTATAATCATTATTATTTTAAATTATTATAATCGTTAATATCATTAATATTATTATTGATATTATTAATATTACAATTAATATTATTATCATTTTGTTTAATCATCATATTTCGTTACTATTTTCATTCGTTAATCATGGCTCATAAAAATATCAAATTAATCCTGCTAATTGAGGTTATTATTCAAAATGCAATCGTGATTGTGTGTGCATGGACTTATAAGTAGATACCTCGATCTAACACCTTACAAAACCGAAAGCTCTCTGCAATATATACATATGACTCATCTGAAAAACAAGGATATTGGTTTATTTCCACTTGCAAAAATATGTCCAAGTATAAAAAAGTACTACTTTATAGCAGTTCACTGACCAAAGTGTACATTCTAGGATAGTTTTGATGGTTGTTACTGAATAGAAATGGTTCGTTTTTTAATAAATACTATTTTCATTGCAAACTCTGAATTGAAATCTATACATTTTGCAAATGATATGTTTACACTGCTTAAACAAAATCATATCGCACTTTGCAAGCAATGCCTGCTTTAAATACTATGAAAGGCTTATCACTGTCTGTGTTTCGATAGCTAGTGTGAATCTATATAGTTAACAACTAAATTATTCATACGCCTTCTATTAAAGTGTTTGTTGGAGTTTTTGTAACTTAAGAATGAAAGGAGGACAGGTTGAATCAGGGCTATTATTGAATACTTTTAGATGTACATGTACATTCTCAAGAAACATAAATCAGGAAAAATTCGAAAATTCAAAAAACTTGGTAAGGGTATGAATAATTAAGTTGTTGACTGCCTGTAAATTGCAAAGTTTCAATGCAAAGTTGTTTTTTGCACATCTTGCATTATTTAATTTACTTGTAACCATAATTATTGTGAATTGTCTGTATGGAAGTATTTCCATGATGTACGATGAAGACATTAAATACATGTCATGAATCTGCTGGACAGGACATTATTATCATTAATCATATCTTGATATTCTCCTTTTCAAACTAGTCCTCGTTTTCCCGCAAAATGTTGCAATTGTATTCATGTATAACATGTGTACAAGTTGAAAAGCTAACCAGACTTCCAATCACTAAAAATCATATTGTTTAAAGCCTGTCTGCACTAGTTTGGCCAGGGGGATTAGACCTCCCTGCAAGGTCACTGACGGGTGGTTATCTCATTAAATCAGCTCTCAATTAACATTAGAAAAAGAGGATCATGGGGGGACCAACAGGCACCAATTAGGCACTGTTTGCTATATAGAGGGCGTAAGTAGCTATAAGTGGTATAGTGGGGCTTTAAGAAACTTGTGTAGATCTAAGAATTAAATCTATCGAATCTATCAAATCAAGAAAAGGGAAGCAAATAAATCTGATTGAATTGCCTGTAATAATGATATTTGTGCGAATAAGACCTTCTTCATCATCAATAGTGATCTGTCAGTTTATGACAGGTTCAGTGACCCATTCAAAATTCTATATCAAGTGTCTCTCCAAGTTTCTCTCCAAGTTCCTCGGTCTTGAGCCAACCGTTTCATCGTTTCATACCCTGTTGCTCCACATTGTGTGGACCTTCTTACTTTTCTTTAAACTTAGCCTCTAGTGAAATAAAATGAATTTGAAAAATGTATTTAATTAATCATAATTGTCATTACAATGGAAGTATTACATCATTCATGTGCACATAAAAAATGTAATTTCATATGAAAATCTCAAATGTTTTATTCCCGACACTATATGATAGTCCAAATGAACAAAATCTTGAAAAAAATCTTTAAAAATAAGATAAATTGTTCTGTTTTCTGTCTTGTGAACTTTTTCAAAGTATTATCCAGTGATGTAGTTAAAGCTGGCAGCTTAGATTAACAAGGCCCGCTTCCTTAGGTTTAATATATATACAATAAGGACTTTTAGATTTGCGTGGACTAATACGTGTGACGTCCATTCAAGGCAGTGCATTAAAAGGACGTCGATCGTAGCAATCTCCATTGTCTTCTTGCGAATCTAAAAGTCCCTAGTATCACCTTGAGGACGGACTTGACAACAGCATCGCTATTCGGTTCAAAACCAAGTCGGTGCGCTAGTGCCCTTTGGTAAGGTATTAATCATCATTACCGAGTCCCTTGGCATACACATGTTTTTTGGATGTCGGGTAAAACAAAACAAAATCAAATCTGTCCAAGGCCAAGGCCACTAAAACATGAACTTAAAGACGGACTTGGCAACAGCACCATTATTATCTAAACATTAAATTGAGTCACATAAAATGTCACATGTTAGATTGAATTTGTATGCAAAGTTTGCTCCTGATGAAAGCAAGAAAAACTAAGCTATTGTTAAAGGGAAAGTCCACCCCCAAAATAAGTTTGTTTCGATAGAGGCAGAATAATAAGAAAATCAGGTGAGTGAAAGTTTGAGCAAATTCTGAATGAAAATAAGAAAGTTATGAATTATTGAAGTTGTGATCAATCAAAAACAAATTGGCAACTCTGTGACTTATCATACAAGCTCTCCTTCATTTGCTTTGTGCATAATATTCCATAAAATCATGTTTTCTTCGTTATTGATGACGGAATATATATTTGTTCCTTGCAGGGGGAGTATAGAAACATATTTGCAATTATTATATTTAGGGTGCATGTATGGTTGAAATTTTTCTTGAGGGAAAATGAAAATTTTAGATTTTTTTAATACTGAGCAAATGGAAGTTGAGCTCGCATGATACATCATAGAGTTGCCAATTTGTGTTTGATTGATCACAACTTCAAAAATCCTAACTTCCTTATTTTAATCGGAATTTGCTCAAACTTTCACTGACTTGTTTCTCTCATTTTTCTACTCCTATTAAAACTAACTTAATTTCAGGGTGGACTTTCCCTTTAAAAATGCATATCGTAATTGTGTCATTGGAAAAAGAAAAAGAAAAAAAATAACAAATCAGCTAGCAATCTGCTACACTTGCTCGGTAATTATTTCCTAAACAAAAACTATTTCCTAATCTCAACCCTGGAGCCAAACCTAAAACCTAAAACCTAAAACTCAATAGGAAACCTTGCCCTGACCCTGTGTTTTTGACGATATAAAGCTTGGAGAAAGAAAAAAAATCACATTGATATTTAAACTGTGACTGACAACCAAAAAGAACACTTTTATATCAATATGTTTTCTGTTTCCTCTATGAAGCTTTTATTCCACATACAAACTGGAAGTCATTTCCTTTTTTGTTGAATGGAATGTTCTGGTGTGTCTGTCAGAAATAAATACAATGATGAAATAAGTGATGATCGTTTACTCTCAAAATGATTGTATACCCTTAAAATGGTTATTCCTCAAAAAATTGGGGCACAATATACAAAGTACCAAACAAAGGTGAAAAGTTTCATTTGCCACAATATTGATGAGGCCAATTCCTACCATAAAAGGTTCAGGGAAGTAGAATTTCAGCAACTGATCAGCATAGTTTTACACCACATGCTCCTACAATGATTACTTCACAGTTATTTCCTACACTCATCAATTTCCTATCTTCAACCCTGAAAACCAACGTTATACCTAACCCCAATCCTAATCTTAAATCTAACCTGAAACCCGACTACAACCTAACCTTAACCATTTACTTTTTAGGAAATAAAATCTGGAGCAATTGTCGCCAAAGCAAGTGTTGGATCGGTAATCAGCATATGACCATGATGACCATTACATGACCCTTACAAGTCCATCACATGACTATTGCATGACATCACATGACTATTACATGACATCACATGACCATCCTTGAAATATACACCTGGCATTAGGCCTAAATGCAGGTTTCATTTCTCTAAGATGAGTAAATACAACGCATAATAAATTACTCTTGTTAAATGCTGAACTGAAGCGGGTTGGCTTATAAAGTCTCTTAGCCTCTTCACAAATTTTTATTTTTCTAGCTATCAAAGTGTTTTAAATTACTTGTGTTTGTTGACCTGAAGTCGGTTGTTTTCAAAAGTCGGTTAGGCTCTTAACAGAATAAAAAAGTTCAGAAAATATATGACTGGAAGTGGAAGTTCATTTTCCTGGTATCTTTTATTATTAAGACATTTGTTTGATGTGCAATGCTTACAAATCTTGAGGGCTATATTTAGATTATGTTTAAATTATGTTAAGATAATGTCACAATAACAAGCATGGCCAATGTTGGTCTTACAATGTCACCGTGCTCATGTTACCCACAAAACGTGGCTTTAGAAGATTATTAAAAAACTTCTCCAATATAATGTTGATTTGAAAAGACTTGCCACTCAGCCTCTGACCCAGTTGATTTGTTTTAGAATCCATCAATGGCATCTGAAATATGAACGCTATTGTGATATTTGTCCAATATAAAAGTGGCTAGAAATAATGTCACTTGATCCAGTCATTGTATTGAATACATCATGATAATAAAACATGTAATGACTGTCCTAATTCTGTCTCGTGATCAACTCATGCTTTCACCTTTGACCTATGACACATAGGCGAAGTCATGTAATCCATTTGAAGTATTGCATTCACCATGACAACAGCAAAGCAAAAAATAACTGTTCCGACCCTGTCTTGTTGACCCACTCATGCTTTCACCTTTGACCTTGGATAATAATGTTTCGTGACCCAAAACAGAGTATTGAATCCATCATTATTACAGCTAGCAGAAAAGGACTGTCCTCATGCTCTCTCTTGATCAACTCATGCTTTCACCTTTGACCTCCGACCTCTGAGGTTCTGACGACCTCTCATTGGCAGATAGGATGTCCCTCACCCGTCCCACAATGCTCTGCATCAGCTCATAGGTATGGCATGCTGACTTCATTACCTATGCAAATGAATAGACGTAACTCATGGATAATCAGTTGTGTTACAACTAAAACACTGTACTTTTACACAAGCATGTATTTCCAACAACATCATGTAATAACAATACATATATATATATATATATATATATAAATGATATTCTAATATTTACAATGTCTATACAAAGCACTGTACAGATAGCTTGTTATGTAACATATATCTTGTGTAGCATATATGTAGCAATTATATAGCATACCTTGCCATTTCCTATTTCACATTATACAGATATTGATTGGCAGGGGTTGTAAAATAACATTCTTTGGACCGCTGAAGGGAGTTATAATTTTCCAAGTAGTTATATTTTCCCGAAGCTGCAGCGCTGAGGGAAAATATGGTCACGAGGGAAAATATGGTCACGAGGGAAAATATAACTCTCTTCAGGTCCGAAGAATGTTATATACCGGTACCCCCTGCCAGTCAATATCTGTTATATTAGATAGCACTATGAACATCACGGACAAAGAAAGCGGACAAAATATACAGTTCCTCAGGTAGACAAAGGAACATCCCTTCACTGCTATTATGTAAAAAGGTGAATATGCATGTGACACCTGTTCTACACATTTTTACATAATAGCAGTGAAGGAAGGATCCTTTGTCTAACTGAGGAACTGTATATTTTGTCCGCTTTCTTTGTCAGTCATGTTCATAGTGTAGCCTTGGTTTGAAAATTTAGGGGGGAGGGGTCCATTTTTTGTTGCCCAATATTTTTCCTTTTTTTTTCAGAGACAAAAAAAGAAAATTGAAAAAAATGCTTAGAGATAATTCGGGAAAAAGTAATATCTTTAAAAATAATTTAAAAAAAAAAAGAGCATTTTGGGGGAAAAGGACAAGGGGGAAAAAAATGACCCTTGTTATTGGTGTAATTTGTGTAATTGGTGACATCCAGTCCTCAAAAGGGAGTCATGCGTTAAAAAATATATTCATTTCACCAGTTGGTTAATATAACACTGGAAAGTGACCGGCCAGGAAAATATAACAATTACGACCATCGCAATTTATATCACGTGACGAGCTCTGGACCAATCACATCTCGGTATCTGTCTAATCTATCTAATATTAAAAAAACATTTATCTCTTACGGTAATGGAATAATTAATATGAATAGATCAAAATTTATTCATTCAGGGGAGATACCGGGTTCTGCCAGAACACTATCCAAAAAATTATATGTGCCCAACCAGCTCAATCTCAAGCCTATTGAGAATTCTTAAATGAATGCAGACTCGGTGCTCTTCAGTTTTTGTACAACACTTGCTCCACAGTCAACTTCCGACACTTATCAAATTTCAAACTTCAATCATAGACTAACCATAACCCTAACCCTAAAACATAACCTACACTCTAACTGCAAATCTAACCCAAATCCTATTTATCTTTGACAAAACAAAACCCGGAACCATTGTTGCTGGAGCATATGTCGGAGTGTCTTCTCATCAGCAGTGATAATGAAAGAAGTAATAGGTGCATAGTATTCACATTTATTATGCACCTAATACTTTGTTTCTAGGCGCAGCACATATTATTACCCCGGTCATCGGATTCAAGCTTACCCGTACACAATGTAAGCACACTTTCCACTCTCTGGGGAGCATTCCAGCCAGTCGCCATTTTACAAGCGCCTCTTGCTAATCCAACCACATTAACTTTCGCATCCTACCAGGTACCCATTTAACACTTGGGATGAGAGTGGCAAATGTAGATCAATGTCTTGCCAAAGGACATTAGTGCCGCGCCAGGACTTGAACCGCAGACCTTGTGAACCACAACTCCAGTGACATATCCACTTGACCACGACACTTCTACTTACATGCATTTGCTGAGATGGGGGCATGACTGGGAGTTGATGACCAGCCACGGTCAAAGTGGAAGTAGGAACGGCGGCTGATTTATCTGGAATCAAAGAGGTGAATGAAAATAACTCAAATAAACGATGAAGATATAAAACTTTTTTTTTTTAAAGAGTAAAACAGGGAACCAGAGTAGGTGATTTAAATATTTCGGTGCAAGTACATTTACAAACAAAAAAAGAAACTTGGGAAAGAATAATCTATTTCTATGTCCATTAAGCAAACTTCTACTTTGATCTACTGATGACTTACACAAAATAATGTCTGGCAAAATGACTTGCTGAAATGTTTATACTACCAAGAGACAATAGCCTAATAATGTGCTTTCTGTAAAGTTCTCCTCAGTAAAAGAGATTAAAGTGGTATAAATAGGGGTTCATAAAGCCCAGGTTTTTACCAGAACGAAGGGGTTGATAAATTAGTCTTACCCCTTCCAGTTTATGTTCATTAGTAAGAGCAGCAATCCTAGATCGGTTGCATGCCCTGGGGGGTGTTTCACAAAGATCCTAAGTCAAACTTAACTCATAAGTTGGACTTAAAAATTATGGAGAGCCATAAGTAACCTTAAAATAAAATATATTCAAAAGCGAAATTCAGGGATTTTAAACTTTATATAAATTCCACATCAAGAACATAAAATCTCCTTGATAATAGAAAATATGAATGATTTGAATCAACATATTATGCCTTTTAAAATAACTTTAACAAAATATTTTCATAGATGCTAACAGCCCTCCATAATTGTTAAGTCCAACTTAGAGATAAGTTCAACGTAGGATCTTTGTGAAACACCCCCCCTCGATAGGAGGGTTAGTAACACCCAAGTTTACACTGATACAAATGGGGGATTGGAACTTACTCTTTCCTCGAGCCTTGTGTTCATTGACAACGGCCGTCATCCTGGCCTGGTAGTGCGCCATGGATAGTTTGATACCGGTGTGAAGGGGTGCGATGAAGCCCTGCTCGATGTGAGGTATGTGGGACCAGATACCGGTCTCGTTCACACTCACCGGGTCCCTCAGGAGGAGGAATCGTAGACAGTTGAGAGCGGCCATCACCCTGCAAACAAAACCAAGGAGGATACAGGGGCGATAGTGAGCACGACAAAAAAAAAAGTAGGTTTTTTTTCTTTCCTCAGCCACCCCCCCCCCCCCTTAGGTTAAAGAAAAGAAGGTTTTTTTGGGAAAAAAAATAGCATCTAACAACATTCCCCCCCTTTTGAGTAAGAAAATTGGGAAAAAATAGGAACAAATCTGGAATATCGGGGTATAATCGGGAAGAAAGAAAAAAATCGGGGGAAAAAAATAAATTGGGACAACAAACAAAACCAGGTTATTATCAGGTCTGAGGATATTTCCCCAAAATGAATACCCTCTAGAATGTTGGGTACAAACTATGTGCAGTTTGTGCCTATGGAAGATATCTGCTTTTTTTTAACCATGAAACACCCCTGTTCAATTGAAAATCTGACTACTGAAAGTGTTATATTTGAAAGCCATCACTCTGCAAAACTAAGTAGGCGATTACCCCAAAATGAATACCCTCTAAAATGTTGGGTACAAGCTATGTGCAGTTAGTGCCTATGGAAGATATCTTTTTTTTAAACCATGAAACACAGATGTACAACTGAAAATCTGGCTACTGAAAGTGAAATATTTGAATACCCTCTAAAATGTTGGGTACATGCTATATGCAGTTTGTGCCTATGGCAGACATGTTTTTTTTTAAACCATGAAACACTGATGTACAATTGAAAGTCTGACTACTGAAAGTGTAATATTTGAAAGCCAGTAGTGAACTTAGTGGCATGGTATGGGTTATCAAACAGAGGTAAATGATAGAGGGCCTAGAAAGAGAGAACAACCATTGCAAGTATTTGCCTAGTAGTTCAACCATATCACTTTCCTTTTTCACAATTTTCTTTTCTTACTATTTGTTCTCACTTTCTTTTTATATCTCTTACTAATATTTGAATCATTCCTCAACATTCCAGTCCTATATTTTTTTCTTTTTTTTTCTCCCAAATTATTTTTTATAATTTTCTTAGTTATCTGTTCACCGTTCTTTACAAGATTTAGTACTTACTTGTCTGATAATTCAAGCATGTCACTCTCTGCCCCATTTGGTAATGAAAAGATGAGAGAGAAGAGATCCCCTAACCGCTGACCAACAAACCATTCATTATCACGGTGCTATAGGATGAAAACATTGGTGAAAGAGAGAAATAATAGGTTACTATCTATCCATCAAGTATCAAGGTACCTTCTCCCAGCTACGAGGTCGATTGCAACATTCAATAGGTTGCCATGGCACTGATTCAAGAGTTTCTGTTTAAAGGGACTTCGTAACAATGTTTAGATGAGAGAAAGTGGTGCTAAGGTAGTGACTTCAATGCTAGATGTACAATTAAAGATAATCTGAAAGTTTGAGTGTAAACAGACCATTATTAATAATCAAAATTGGAAAAAACTTATTTGATCGATTCCTTCATTCTCTCAATGAAATTATTACGATTTAATTACATTTTAGTTCAATGTATATCGTCAAAAAGCATGAATTGGCTCTTTACACCATTCCAGACATTTTAGTGTTGAAAGATTTTTCAAAGTCTGTCTTTTGTCTTTTTTTCATGGAAAAACGGTGGGGAAAATTTAAAAATGGTTGGGAGAATGTACTGTTAATCACTGTTAGAGTGTGTTGCACAGTGACACCTTCAAAGAAAACCATAGATGTCTTTGTGGTTTGAGAATTTTTTCAGGATTTTTTGCGTGTTAGAGGGTATGTACAGTAGAAGGAATATGATAAGTAACATTTCATACAAAAATTATGCAATTCTTTCGTCCACTTTCAACAATATTACCGGGTCACTTTAATGGCAAAACAAAAATACTAGGTAATGTAATGATGAGAGAGATGATGAAAGTGGCATCATCAAATCTTTAATAGTCCAAGCTTTACAGCTCACTCTTGTCATATTTTGAATATGACAGTATATGAGATATGAGATATTCTTCCAAACTTATAACAGCAATGAGAGCACTATCAAACTAATTCTTTTACCTTTTCCAGAACTCATCATTCTCCTTAAAGACTGTATGTACTAGTATGGATAGAAAGGATTAGACCACCCAGGGTGGTCACTGACAGGTGGCTATCTCATCAACTCAGCTCTCAATTAACATAAGTAAAAGAGGATCATGGGGGACCAATGGTAACCGACTAGGCATTTTTTTATAGTAGCTACAAGTAGTACAGTGTGGCTTAAAACCCAATTGTAACCTTTACCCTTATCCCATACCTGCCAACCTGAGACAAGAGAAATTAGGAGTAAATTTTTCTGGATGGACTACGAGGTCGCGAACCACCGAAGGATTGGGGTAGTAGCCCGTAGATTGGGGGGGGGGGGAACTAACGATCACGTTCGGGCTGCGCTGTGTATATCTTCTATGAGCGCGAGCGCGGATGTCGGCGTGATCTGGTTATCAGTGCTGTGTTATGCTTAATTAATATACATACATACATACATATTGGTATTTATTGAGCACCTTTACATGAACATGCTCAAGGCGCTTTACATTTCGACAGTTATATACTCTCCAAGTGCATTACACTCTAAAAAAAAAAAAAAAAAAAAAAAAAAAAAAAAAAAAATTAAATTTAAAAAAAAATCGGAGTTTTGAGGCATGCATTCGGAATTCGGAGTTGGTATGAAAAATGCGGAGGAACTCCGCCTAAATCGGGGTGGTTGGCAGGTATGTTATCCTATATCTATGATGAAATAAGGCCTGTTGCAAATGTTGCTGCAGCTAAAACTGTCTTATCTTATGCTTACCTGTAATGTGTGATGGACATTATCTTTGACCATACCAATGACCATTCCGCAGACACCTGAGTGGACCGTGTTCTTCAGCAGTAGCTGTAGCAGCCTGTAGCGCCCCTTCCAGTCAAATTTACGAATGTATACGGAGAAGACTCTAAGTGCTGCTTGCCTCTGAAAATACAACAGGAATCATTTGTGTCTGAATTTCATTCTCATTTTCTAATTTTAAGTGATCCCTCATCATCAAAGTTAAAAACTATTAAACCATTACAACTTCTATATGGAAAGTTTTTGTTTTGTTTTGTAAGTATACTTTAATGTCTGTGGCAGAGTCAAGGATCATGGTGGACAATTTCTTTCTTTCTTTCTTTCTAAAACATCTGAACTAATAATGTCAGTTATATTTGACTTCTAAGAAAGTCTATGATTGCAACAGTCTATCAAGTTTTACACTCAGTGATAGACCGTGATATACACAAATGACTGCGACCAATAACATTTAAAATAAATATATCTAACAAAATTAGGAAAAAAAAGACCTGAGGGATCAAGAAACAACAAATATTAGACAATCAAATCTTAGACCATTGAAAATATGAAACATATACGGTACACATCTATATACAATGTGAGCAAATAACTTTACAAGTACACATAACTACATGTAAATAATTCATGTCAAAACTGAGGTACATTTCCGATTTGATGATCAACTCCAAGAAATATCATTATTCTTACACATATTTAGTAGGGCAATGTACCCAAGATTGCCTTCAAGTGTACCAATCACCTTAAAAAAATAATATGTGTAAAATCACCTTAAAAAAATAATATGTGTAAAATCAACTAAAAAAAACTTCCCCTATGAAGAAAATAAAGAACATAAAACAGAGCACCTAGAACCCAACTTTGGCTCCGTATGGGTCCTATTTCACACAAGCATCAAAAGGTAACGTAGTCTACCCACAATTCACTTTCATGTTAATTGAGAGTATATTCAATTTTGCAATTTTTGATTTAAAACCAAAAAGTGTACTTACAATGGTGTTGAGAGGACTCATCACCATGACAACGGATAGCATTTGTGGGAGGTCTTCATAGAACGTGTTGTCAAGGAGTCTGTGATGTAGTGCTGCATCCTCAATTCCATCTACCAGCAAGGACAGTAAGGACTGTAAAGGAGAGATGGTAGACGATAAGGAAGGATTTAGAGAGCGAAAGGAATTGATGAAGAAGTTTGCAGAGGTGTGATGATAGATTAATAGTTTGTTCTTTCATAGAGTATTTCAGGATTGCAGGCCCTCTCAAAGCGCTTCAAGATTCAAGATTTTATTGTCCATATATAATACAGAAATTTGTTTTCCATTGGTGTAACATGTAATATGTAAAACATAAGACAAAAACATGGTGTCATGTGCTGAAAGCCAGAAGGGCGTCAAGACTCTATAATTATGTACGCATATTCTTCTCTCCCAGAGAAGTAATCCAGCCAGGCATCATTTTTACAAGCGCACACTTGCTCATCTAACCACATTAACTTTCGCATCTTCCCAGGTACCCATTTTACACCTGGGTGGAGAGTGGCAAATGTAGATCAATGTCTTGCCAAAGGAAATTAGTGCTGCAGCAGGACTTGAACCGCGGACCTTTTGATCCACAGTCCAGTGACATTTCCACTCGACCACGACACCTGAAGTCCTCTACACAGTATAGTGATTCAGTCACTAGATTTTTTCTTAATTGAGTCTAGAGAGGATTGGAATCCCAGTAGGCACTAGCATCCTTTGGCAAGACATTAATCCACATTTTCCACTCCCCATCATGATGTAAATGGGTACCTGATATGCTGGAGGGTTACATATCACAGAACCCGAACCACCCATTATGGGGATCGCGCATTTGTGTATGTTGCACTAGTCTTCTGGAACAAGCTGCCAAGTGACATTCAAAACATTCAATGTCTAGAAACCTTTCAGAAATATGTTACAAGGATTTTTTTTACTCAGAGTTCCTTATGATATTATGTTGTTAAAATTCTTGAGAGAGATTTGTGTATTTTGTGTAGTATAGCGAAGGTTATTAGATAAGTGCGCTTTATAAGTACCGGTATTTAATATTATTATTATTATTATTTGGCAGCTCGATTATCCTGTGTGCTATAACAAAAAAGCCAACAGTATTATGATTATTTTTTATGACAGAAGTAAAATATTCCAAATATGAAAGGGGAAATCTTGAAGGTGAACAAATGTTCACAGATGGCACAAGAACTTACAAATAAAACCAATTTTACATGTACATCTTGAAGAAAAAGCTTGCTCAAAGTTGCTTGACACAGTATCAACAAATTACCACAGGGTTCCCAGAACAAACATCACATAGATCACAGAATATTAATAAAAGAAAGTAATCAGGTGGTGTGTTTCACAAAGATCCTATTCGTCAAACTTAACTCTAAGTTAGACTTAAACATTATGGATAGCCATTTGTAGCCTTAAAATTAAATATAGTCAAAAGAAAAAATTGAAGTATTTACGACTTTTCATAAATTCCACATCAAGAACATGAAATCTCCTTGATAAAACAAAATATGAATGATTTGAATCAACATTTTATGCCTTTTGAAATAATTTTTACAAAATATCTTCAAAGATGCTAACAGCTTTCCATAATTGTTAAGTCCAACTAAGAGTAAAGTTCGCCTTAGGATCTTTATGAAACACCCCCCTGGTCTCTCAATCTGAAAATGTTCTCTTGACTAGTCTTGCAAGTACTCACCAAGCCTTTGAGGACGGGTTCCTCTTCTGGTCTCCTTAGCAAGGCTGCAATGTACACACTAGTGAGTTGTAGCAGATATTCAGAGCTGCAATGAAAACATTCAATAGATAGGAAAGACTAGTACTGTGCTGGGATCTGGGAGGTGTTTCACAAAGACTAAGATTAAATCAAGTTGGACTATGGCAGGCCTATAATGCCACTGGTTACTCTCACTGTTCGTCTCTCAAGGGATGTGCAGAATCATGGTCACACATCTACAGAATTGACAATTTTTGAGAGTTCATTGTTGAAGAAGAAAAACATTTACTCAAATTCAAGTTTCACTTAAAGGGGAAGTCCAACCTGAAACCTGATCACAGCATTCAAGTGCGTGCTACATACACGAAACCGAAGTGTGAGGAGAACTTCAGTCTGTTTCCCAAATGCTGACCGTGTAGAGTACCATTAATCAAGTCCATTCGTTAACATGCAGTAGTCCAAAAGAAGACCTAGATGGCGTTAACCAGTATTTGCCAAGTTACACCCCCTTTAAAACTAGTTTAATATTAGGGTGGACTTTTCCTTTAAGACTTGGACTTATATCATTATATTATCTATTCTACCTTATCATAGACAAAGTATCCAAGACCTCGAGCAGCATTTTATTTGACTTCAAACAAATGCATGAGTGTTGATTTCCTTGCACTAGGTGATTCTTACCTGTAGACATTCGGTAGTCTGTCCTCTCTGAGCTCTTCTACCTTGACTAGATAAACAAAGCAACCCAGACCTAGAACAGGAAGTCCCTTGATGTCTCCAGGACCCGGGTCATCCTCACCTAGATCATCAGCCTCCGATGAGGGCGCTATAGGCAGATTGAATTCTTTACCGTAGCACAAGAGTTGGTTGAAGCTGAATTGCAGCCTAGAGAGGTATGTCTGTCAATACAAACAAAATAAATCATAATTTGGTGTAATTATTTAGTATTTCAATGCAGGGCTCTACATTGAGATTGTCTTAGACTTGCACTGTAGAAAAAATGATTCTCAAAATAATTGACTTGCTCTAAACTTTTTTTAAAGGATATGTTCCATCCACATTAAACTGATCACAATAATAATAATAATCTGGAATTATTTACCGTCTCCAAGTGCTTAAAATATTATTACTCTGGTCATTGGATTAATTCCAGCACAATGTGCACCATCTCCATTCCCTGGGCAGTATTCCTACCATATGGTCACTGTGAGGGCATATGGCAATTACTAATACAAAGGTTTTTTTGTCATCCTACCAGGTGGCAGATGTAGACTAATGCCTTGCCAAAAGATATTAGTGCCCACGACAAGTCAAGTGACAGAGTTGAGACTGTGGCGGTAAACTGCTGGTTCCATCAGTTTTTTCCGTCATTTATTAATTGAATAATACGTACATAAGAAACACAAAATTATCTTGATTACAAAGAAAAGCACATGAATTATACTTATATCACAAAATTAATTATACTTTTTTTAAAACATAATCAACATTTTTTTCCAGAGTTGATACTTTTCAACATTTGCCCTCCATAATATTTCTAAATAAATGTTGAATTTGTTTGTAAAAGGAGAACCACTTTACCATTGCTTGTTCTGCACACAATCTGAAATCTGCTTTATATCTTGGTTTGTCCGAGTCTTCTTCCGTCTCTTTCCATGCCAGATCTGTCCTCGCCAACGGGTAGTCCAGTATTCTGATCAAGCTGGAGAAGAAATAATAATAATAGCTCAAATTTATAGTGCACCTAATACTTTGTTTCTAGGCGCAGCACATATTATTACCCCGGCCATTGGATTCAGGCTTACCCGTAACAAAATGTATGCACATTTTCCACTCCCTGGGGAGCATACCAGCCAGTCGCCATTATACAAGCGCCGCTTGTAAAGTAAGTCAAGATAAAACGGGTGTTTTTCACGGTCATTGTCTGATTTATTTCAATGATCTTTCTATGGCAGTCATTATCATCATCATCACCATCATCATCATCATCATCATCATCATCCTCATCATCATCCTCATCATCCTCATCATCATCCTCATCATCATCCTCATCATCATCATCATCCTCATCATCATCCTCATCATCATCCTCATCATCATCATTATCATCACCATCATCCTCATCATCATCATTATCATCATCCTCATCATCATCATTATCATCACCATCATCCTCATCATCATCATTATCATCATCCTCATCATCATCCTCATCATCATCATCATCATCATCATCCTCATCATCATCATCATCATCATCATCATCATTATCATCACCATCATCCTCATCATCACCATCACCATCACCATCATCATCCTCATCATCATTCAAACAAACATCGATAACAGTTGAGAGAATTAAGAGGTGGACATTTAATAACAAACGTACTTGAAGGGCTTGGAAACCTTTCAATAGTAAGCACAAACTATATAGATGCCAATTTTATTGTTTTATGAATCATCGTAAATTGCATGTATCATATACTCACAATTTTGCAATTTCAATCTTGGAATTTTCCACTTCTATTCTTTCCTGTCAAATCAATAAAGAAACATGACAATGTGTTAGAATATCTGTCAAGTAATATTTTTTAGGCTTTAGGGTATCAGATATCAAACAGTAAATAATAATTATAAATATGTAAATTATAAATGTAGCCAATCTAATTGGTCAAATGACACCATGTGACCATGCATCATTCTTTCCTACCTTGAATACAATCAAAAAGTGACAATTAACCCATGGCTTAAAGTGGTAATGAACTGCTGAGATATATGCATGCGTATTACGTTAAACCCTAGCAAGTACAAACTCAAGACGTGATGAAAGGCATGTACATGTACATGAAGTTTCAAATGGCAAGGACATTGATGTGCACACTGAGAGGCTAAGTACATGTACACTGTTTGGTTGTGCATATATACTGTGATGTCAATCAATGCCCCCTACTTTACTCGTTTGACCCTCTCCGGGGGTGAAGGGCAGTCCCCGCAGGAAAGAAACACATTGTTTTCCAGAATAATAATAATAATAATAATAGTGGGTTCTTGTATAGCGCTCATGTCTGTCAGATTTGACACCCCTAGCGATCCCGATTACGCTCTAGCATTTCAAGGAATGGTACCCATTTAAATTACCTGGGTCAAGTGTGGCAAATGTAGATCAATGTCCTGCCAAAGGACATTAGTGCCGCGGTGGGACTCGAACCACGTACCTTGTGATCGACAGTCCGGTGACATATCCACTCGACCAAGACACCTCTACAATACCAACAACCCATCTTCATCTCACCAGTTTTGAAAGTTCTTTAACATTGCCATACAGCATTTGCTCTACTTGGAAGACGAAAGGAGCCAAGAATTCCAGAACAGCTATGGTGTTCCTTCCGAGCTTGTGGACGCCCGGATCCTCCAGTAGTAGACGTCTCTGTTTCTCATCTAAGCCCTCACTGCTTGGAAACTGTATATCGTGGGGATTAGGAAATTTAATTTAAAGAAGCAATTACATTTGAAAACATTTTTCTCATATAATAATAATATATTCCGTGTTTATATAGCGCTCAATACATCCATCCAACAATGTGCCTAAGCGCTTTACAGATATATTATTACCCCGGTCATCGGATTCAGGCTTACCCGCACACAATGTATGCACATTTTCCACTCCCTGGGGAGCATTCCAGCTAGTCGCCATTTTGCAAGTGCACACTTGCTCTTCCAACCACATGAACGTGCGCATCCTACCGGGTACCCATTTAACACCTGGGTGGAGAGTAGCAAGTGCAGGTAAATATCTTGCCAAAGGATATACTGTTCAATATTGTTCAATGGTTTGTTTGTTTGTTTTATAGTTCCACATTCCACATAACAAGGATGTCTCATACGTCAGATTTAACAAGAGAATGCATAAATAAAAAACAACGATAGACATAAACATAGAGAAATAATAAAGTGAAATATGGGGAACCTATTAAAAAGCAACGCTTATACATCATGTTTCCAAATTTGTTTTTAACAAGACATACAAACTAATTACAAATGATTTGACTTTTCATATTTATTCATGTTGATTGATAGGCCTGAGAATCTGAGAAAACTTTGGACGAAACTCATGTGACATTTACATTTACATTTAATACACAAAAACAAAGACATATTGGTTTAAAATTTGCCTGTTATTGTTACCTCATGTTCTCAAAATTTGCATACAATGTGAATTCTTTTTAACACCTGGGTGGAGAGTAGCAAGTGCAGGTTAATATCTTGCCAAAGGATATCAGTGCCGTGTCAGGATTCGAATCCTTGACCGTCACATCTCCAGTCAAGAGCCTTAAACCACTCGGCCACGCCACTCCCACATACAGTTGCCCACAAATTTTAGAGTGTTTTTAAACTATCCCTTTAACTACCAGTTATGTGAATGCACAAAAAAAGAATAAGCAAGACAGTGTTGCCATACAAAAAAAAAAAATCTGTAATGAAAATCAATCTTGTCGCAATGAAGCTTTTATTTCAGATGTAACCCATTCCCCCTGTATCATGCGATTGATTCCAGATCTAATAATAATAATAATAGGCATTTATATAGTGCCATCTATCTAGACAATTCTATTCTGAGGCGCACAAGAAAAATTAAAAGAATGAGAGAGTTTAGATGAGTGTCATAGTGCCAAGTACAGGTATTGTTAAAAAAAGATAAGATTTCATCTTGGACTAAAGGTCTCTAAGGAAGTTATGATTCTCAAATTAAATGGTAAATTATTCCGAAGAGTGGGAATGATTTATGATTTATTTTGTGTATTACACATGAACTCAGAGAGACCGGACACTAGTACTGGATGATGCCTTACCTTTGCAGTCTGTAGATGGGTGTGTAGCAGAATAAACGACTGATTCATCTGATGACTCTTGGTGAGGCCAAATCGCATCAAAACTGAAAGGAAGAAGTTTCAAGATGAATTTTATTCACAATAGCTAATCAAAGCCATCGAGTACTAACTACTATTAAAGCCTAAGACAACTTGGGCTAGCATTTAAGGAAATATAGTATCCATACCATTGTGTTAAAGGGATCCGGTAACTTTGTCTCAGATTCTAAAACAAAATCCTGGATTTTGCTCATGCTGCAATGATAATTCTAAACCTTAAGGTCAATCAGGAACCCCATGACTTGTACAAGCCGATCGCCTGTCTGATTATCAAGATATTTATGATTGGAATTACAAATTTTGAAAACCGTTTGCTCAACGGTTTTCATAACACTACAGTCTATTGGGGAAAAAGAGTACAGTAAAACCGGTCATTCAAATATTTTTACTTTCTTGAGGCACTTCTTGATCATTTTGAAGCGCAATTTTTTTAGGGCTTCAATATTACCCAATATTACGGACACTGATAACACGTAGGACCGTGCATCTCAGATTTAACTTTGTTAAACGATGCCTTTAAAGCCATATCAACCTTTTGGAAAATTCACAATACAGAGGCTATTTTCAATTTACAGTGGACTTTTGAGACAAACCTCTCCCTTAGCCACAACTCCCCCCCCCCCCACTGCATTTGCCAGATGAGAACACCTTTGGAGCTACTACATAACACAAGGGTTTTCAGACAAAAATACAAAGGGTAACTTCTCCAGGAAAAAGAGCAACCACAAAGGTAATGAATAAATTCATGCACGCTTTCAACCTGCAAAGTTTGTTTAGTCCTCACAACAACCCTGTTAGATGCAGCGAGGCCACATTTCAGTCGGTTTGAACCTTGACCTTGAAAACCTTGGTAGGTCCTTTCAGCAGCTCCTAACAGCTATCCCATAATGATGATATGCTGTACTCAGAGTGAACTGAGGTGCCACAGTGAAGTAAGTAATTTCATTATCACATAATGTGTGAGCATACATGTACACAGTGGGAGCGATTGTGCCTCTTGTGTTTTAAAGCGCATAGTAGTGGGCTCTCATGGGGAATTCCCACACATTCGGTGTTTACCTAATAATGGAGGTACCACGGCACCACTGGTTCGCTGAGTGCGAGACTTGTACACCCATCAACGGCATTTCCACCAAGTCTGATGTCAGCAAATAATGACCTACTGCACACGGAAACTGACGACCATCTCCTTTTACAGCATGTGAGACCCAACAGAGCGGGACCAAAGATAAATAAAGTCTGCCAGGAAGCCTGACACCCCCAGCCCCTGTCTACTCTCCCGCTGATACCACCTCCCTGTTTACTTACCTGTTGAGAGTGGTTTAAGGAGTATTCTGTAGGTGCCATCGTCAAGGAAACGATCAAGCTGCTCTAGATAACCCAAGATCATCTCTTTAGGTTTCCCAATCTACAGAGAGGAAAGACAGAGAGAGAGAGAGAGAGAGAGAGAGAGCGGGAGAGAGAGCAAGAGAGATAAATTAAGAGAGAAAGAGATAGAGAGAGAGAGGAAAGAGAGAGAGATAGGGAGGAGAAGGGGGAGAGGCAAGAGAGGGGAAAGAGGGAGAGAGAAAGGGATAGAGAGAGAGAGAGCAAGAGGACAGAGAGAGAGAGAGAGAGAGAAAGGGAGAGAGGGAGAGCAAGAGAAATTAATTAAGAGAGAAAGGGATAGAGAGAGACAGAGAGAGATAGATTAAGAAAGAAAGAGAGAAAGAGAAATAGGGATAAAATCATGTAGTTTATTTTTTACTCTCATCTAAATACAGACAAACTTTAGGATTACGACATTATATACATGTATTGCTCTAATACAATGTAGCTCACAACACTTTAATCACCAATGTACCATTACATTATTCCTCATTCAAGAAACAAGTATTTTGTTAGTTTACACTTTGATTCTTTGGAGTGACGGATGTTTCTTCTTGATACAAAATTTTATTCAAAATTTGAAAAAGATCCCCTAGAGAAAAAGCAAATTTGGGGTTGCTTTCGTCCGGAGATCACTATTAATAGTTTTTAATGCTGAAATAAAGAGAGGCAGCACATTACTACATACCTCTGCCAAGTCATTGAGTATCTGTGCCGAGTCCTTGTAAACATCGTTGTTTGTCTCAGTGTCACTGACATGTGGGGTGATTATCGGCAGGAGGTCCCAAGCTACTGTCTCCACCAGAGCCTGAGTACAAAGGTCAAAGTTTAAATGCATGGTAAATTTATAAATACAGGTCCATCCTCATCATCACCATCATTATCATCATCATTAATATCATCATCAATATCATCATAATCATCAATATCATCATAATCACCATCATCATCAATATCATAATCACCATCATCATCAATATCATCACCATCATTATCATCATCATTAATATCATCATCAATATCATCATAATCATCAATATCATCATAATCACCATCATCATCAAAATCATAATCATCATCATCAATATCCTCATCATCATCATCATCACCATTACCATCATCATCATCATCAAAATCCTCCTTAGGATACTTACAACAGTTATAAAACATAATAAGCGTGATAAAGACTTTTTGTTGAATATGTGTAATTCTACCTAGAATACTAAGTGTCCAAGAAGTTGCTTGCACTATGATGAATGGCTGTATTGTTAACCGTTATTGTGAAACTTATTCTAAAGAGATGATTGGTAATACAAAATCAAAGACTAGAATTGAAGAGAGGAAGACATACTGAAGCCTAAATGAGACAAGTAACTAAATTAGACAAAAAGAAGCAATATGTCTCTCTTCAATGCAATGTCCCTTCTTCAATCTTATTCCAGTGGAATGCGTCTTCTGCCAAATTAAACAATGAAACAAACAGCTAAGACTACACACAATCAACACAAGAAAGGCTATTTATGAATCTTTTCAACTTTCTTGTGATAAAGATGAGGCTAAGATACAGGCCCATTGAGGTCCCATTAAGAACATTGGCATCATTTTACGAAACCATCGTAAGGACAAGATCACCAATATCCCATCGAAACACATGTGAATTTCACACATGTTTCAATGGGTTGTCAGCAAACTTGCACTACTGACGTTTTTGTGAGACGCTACCCTGTTGCCTGTACAGCCAAACCTGGGGGGTGTTTCACAAAGATCCTAAGTTGAACTGATCTCTAAGTTGGACTTAAAGGTAAAGACCAGTTATGGTCAAGCGATTGCATTGTGAAAGAAACGTTGGGGAATCGATCAGAAAAGGTTGATCATCTAGCATCTAGCATCTGCAAGGTTCTGGAATCATCAAAATGATAAGAAATTTGGCCCATTCTTCGTAAAGTTACAAGCACTATACACAAAAAGATGTATATGGGACTACCCTATATCTCTCACAAACCATGAGAGAAACAAATTTACCAAATAAATGAATTAGTAGGCGGTTTCCCGGCAAATTTTTTATCATCATGTATTAGTCAAAACATATTCTTTCACATGATAGGTAATGAGAGATTCCATTTCATTTTTTGAAATTGGGGCGTTTCCAATACTGGTCTTTACCTTTAACATTTATGGAAAGCCGTTAGCATCTATGAAAATATTTTTCACAAGTTTTTTTTAAAAGGCATAAAATGTTGATTCCTATCATTCATATTTTCTATTATCAAGGGGATTTCATGTTCTGGACGTGGAGTTTATAAAGAGTCAAAAATACTTGATTTTTTCGCTTTTGAATATATTTTATTTCAAGGCTACAAATGGCTCTCTATAATTTTTAAGTCCAACTTAGAGTTAATTTCGTCTTAGAATCTTTGTGAAACCCCCCCTGATCAACTCACCTTATAACTGCCATTCTGTAGAATTTCAAGGACTGCACTGGTCTCTTCTCTATCCACCAGCTCTCGGACAGCTCCGAGAAAGAGAGACGGTTCCCATGATGACTGGTCTTCAAGCTGGTGGCAAGAAACATTAAGAGAGAAAAACAGTAGGAGGTTTTGATCAAGATGTTCTCTATATTAAACTAAAATGTTTACAAAATAATTGGAAATATGAAAGACTCTGCTCTACATTTTTCCCCACTCCAGCAAAGCATATTGAGTCAATGCTAATTCGTATTGACCTCTAGCACTGCACTACGTGTTAATAGGCAGCATTTGCACACATGAATAGTCAATACACTCTCAACACACAAATGCACACAATCAAGCCAATGTGGCTGATCAGCAAGTTTGACAGTAGACTTACAATTTGAATTTTAAATTATTCTTTCTAATATTGGTAAGTTACAAAAATTGTATTTTACTGCTATTTAGGTGTCATCAATTGTCACTAAAGTACTGATTTTGAGTGAAATCATTTGAGTTTTGTACAGTGGTGTATGAAATGTTGAGAATCAATAGCACAGCTTTTGATACACGGCCAGGATAGTAATGCACCTATGTGTGGTTTTTCCCCACAAGTTATGAATAAAATTAGATCTAGTCAACAAATATACAATCCCAACTGCCCAAGAGCGGGACAACTGAATGTGCTAATGCACTTTCACACCATGCACTTTAAAACGTGTTAAAAGAAGAGCAAAGGGAAGGCTTATGTGGAAAGCGCTTTATATCCAGTGGAAACGGGGCTATAGACTATATATCAATTGCAACTATCATTAATACAGGTAGTGATTTTGGAGAAAACATGCATCATGTGTAGCACTAGCAGAGACAAACTTTGTATTCATTGTGTACATTAGTGCGCAATGTGTGCAATTGCTGCCTGATCTCAGCAGAGCATAGAGACTAAAGAGTCAGTCAATACTAATGCGGCTCTAGGCTAGCGCTGTACTACATGCTAAGAGGCAGCAATTGCACATACGCATGAATAGTCAATACACTTATTGAACCCAATGAAGACGATGTGGCTGTTGGCAAGTTTGACAGTATAGACTCACGATTTGAATTTTCAAATATTCTTTCTAACATCGGTAGATTTCTAGACTAAGTTAGGCACATTCATGGGGCACTAGAGGGCGCTTCGGTCGCGTACGAAAATCTGAATGGCCTTGCTGCGTTGGGTCGGCAATAATCAGCCCAAAACTTGGATATGGGAGGTTGGAAGGATATATCTTTTTTATAATGTTATCCGGTCTTACCCTTAACCATCCTATGTTTAATCTATGTAGGAATAACATGCGAGTATGATAAGAGAAACATCGGGACCATTACTGAAGTAACTTTTAAAATATTAGCCTAGAAATGACCACCAAACGGAAAAAATTGACATTTTTTCCCGACAAATCTTCATAAAATCTGAGTTATAAACAATTCACATTTAGGTACACTAATACAAATACGATTTTCTGAAAATTCAGGTATGATTTTTTAAGTTTCTTTCAAGTATATTTCTGCGCATTGCAGCGCCAATATTCTTCACTGCTTCAAAATCACCCTTGATTTTTTTTTTGCAACGAATTTGATACGAGGTCCGTGAGTGTTCCCCGTTCCTTGCGTGTTGAAAGTTTGGTAATACATAGTTTGCATTGACTCGCGCACGAAAAAATGGTCATAAACAAAATGTCAAATGAAGAAATAAACAAGCTTTTGTATAGTTATAAGAGTTCTACCGAGGTTTCTTTGTCGATTTAATTTATTATATAGTCTCAATTAGAATTCAGAATTATCTCACTGAAAAGTTAAGAAACCGACGATGTTCTCGATCGTAGTTATTTTCATTTTGCCAGCAGCCGATCTAGCGTTGTTTGGGCAAAAAGCTAGGCCGCTGCCTTCCCACCGCGAACCTTTCCGAGTCCCGCTAAAATGGCGCGCTGCGGAGCTCCGAAGCTGCGTTGGTATCGCTGCAAACTCTCAGCCGGCTAGCTCCCCACGACGGCAGTGAAAAAAATACACGGGGGCTCAGGGCGAATTTGCCCCCGAAATGCCCAAAAGAGCCCCCGAAAATCAGAAAAGAGCCCCCGTAAATTTGCATAGAGTTCTATGCAGAACAAATTTTAGAGAGTAATTTTTATGCAGGCAAGCTTGAAAAGTAGCCCCCAAAAGATAAATGTTAATTTTTTCCCTGCACGACGGACCATTCGCGGTATGGTGAGAGTGTGTGTGTGAGGTATGATTTTGGATTCGAGAACGCACGTAACGCAACCGTGCGCGTCATTTAGAGCTGTCGAATGTGTACGACCAATTTTACATGTACGATTTTTAGTACAGATACTTGGTCAGTTTTCTTCTTATATCTTTGGTTTTACAACATTTAAAAATATAATTTCTTCAAATCTGCTCCTGACTCGGTTCAGACTAATTGTCTGATGTGTTTTCAAGTCAATTTTTTGAATATATTTTTTTGCATGAATTTGCCTAGACTAGATCTAACTAAGTTGAAAAAAATTGTATTTTACTGCTATTTCTACCTACTAACCTAGGTAGTCTAGGTGTCATCAATTGTCACTAAAGTACCCATTTTTAGTGAAATCGGTTGAGTTTTGTACAGTGGTGTTTGAAATGTTGAGAATCAATAGAACAGTTTTTAATACACAGCCAGGCCAGGATAGTTAATACAGCTATGCGTGGCCAGCGCCAGGATCAGCTCAGCTCAAGCTCAACAACGACACAGTCACACTGTCTGGACTAACCTGCTAACAAAATAAGGAACATGTGGGGGCAATAGCGAAATTGTAAACTCTAATGAAATTCATCTTTCTACAGTGGAAAACAAATGGTATGTAATCGGGAGCATCTTTTTATGTAGATATCTATATCTCCTTCTATGAAATGATGCACAAAGTTGCACATAACTTACGAAATTGTCAGCAAGCTTCTTCAATTCTGCCGCCATTCTATATTCTTTCTGGATCCCTAGCCCTCAGTCGGTTGGTCGGGCGCATGCAATATACACAGTGCGCATATGCTCATTCAGTATAGCAATAGGGAAATCCCCTCTATTCTCTTCGGTATGGGTCATCATCACCACCATCAGGACGATGATGGTCCTTATCCAACTGACATCAAACTATAGATCTCTAGATGTATCGTGCAGGACCGAGACCACTTTTTTTTTTAAGGAGATGAACATTTGTTATTATTTGGAAGTTTTAAAAAAATCTCAATTGTAATAATGTTTGTATGTTTTAAACTTTTTATTAGATAATGACCAATTAACGAACATAGTAAAGTGTCATCGATCATCATCATCATCATCATCATCATCATCGTCATCATCATCATCATCATCATCATCATCAATCATCATCAACAAAAACAACGAATTACAATATATTTACATCAGAGTAAACCAGATCAACATACAATACACATCGAAATGTCATGATTTTGTGATATTAATAGAGTACAATAGATTAAAACACGTCTGTACTAGTTTGGCCAGGAGGGATTAGACCACCCAGCGTGGTCACTGACAGGTGGTTATCTCATCAACTCAGCTCTCAATTAACAATGATGGGAATGATGGACTATTAGTGTCAAGATTTTGAAACGTGTTTGTAACATAAACATTGTCATAGATACTCTGACGTATTTATACAATCTGTCACTGACAACGGGTGTATAGTTCCTGCTGCATGGAAAATAGCAAGAATACAAATTTCAAGTATCTAATTAGTATAGGCCGATAGCCGTTCTCCCTATCTTATCCAAAATAATAGAAAAGGCAGTGAATAAGAATCTCCTTGAATATCTGTCAGAAATTAACCCCAAACACTTCGGTTTTCGACCTACTCATGTGAGACCGCCCTAATCTGTATGGTCGATGAATTAGCAATGCATGTTGATAAGGGGTATATGTGAATGGATTAGCGCTTATTGACTTACGCTAATCGTTCGACATGGTAGATCACCGTATTCTCATAAGCAAATGAGCTAAATACGGTTGTTCTGAAAAATGTCTCACTTGGTTTATAGGTCCTATCTTAATAACAGGAAACAATATGTTTCAATGCAAAATAAAAAGTCAAACATCATGAATGTCAACACAGGAGTGGCTTAAATCCTTGGGCCCCTCCTGTTTACAGTCATGATAAACGATCTTCCCACGCATATAAGTAAAGGGAATGTTTATATGTACGCGGATGACACGACAATATCCGTCCATGGAAACAGTCCAACAGATATTGAAATCCAGCTTAACAATGTAATGCAAGACGTAAATGAATGGGTTAACAGAAACAAGTTGATCCCCAATCCAGAGAAAACCAAAGTCATGCTAATAGGCTCAAGACAAAAATTACATCGGTTTTCAAATCTAAAGTTGCATGTTACATTAAAAGGTAAATCTGTTGAACGTGTTGATGAATCTAGGTGTCTAGGTGTAAGGTGTAACCATAGACTCTAGCCTTAACTTTAAGATGCATACTGAAAAGGTGTCTTTAAAGGTGAAACAAAAGCTAGGTGTAATAAGAAGATTAAAGACATATTTTTTTCTACTAAACAATTATCTGATATATATTGGGGGGACATTATACCCCATGTTCTTTACTGCTGTAATGTATGGTCGCGCAGAAGTGTCGGGAATTTCAATACCCTAAACAAAAGAGCTGCCTACATAGTATCAAATAAGTCATGGGATATACCGTCCCTGGATGTAATTACAGTCACTATGCTGGCCAACTCTTGATAAGTTGTTCTGGAAAACAATGTGCTGCTTAATGTATAAATGTATAAATAGAATAACACCCGGAATCGTTCATGACAGATTTATACTCGTTTATACGATGTTTCAAAACGAATAACTCGCAACACAGATAAGAAGATGTTGCGATTGCCAAAATTTAAAACAGAATTTTATAGGAAGTCATTCATTTATTCAGGGAGTGAAATTTGGAATGAGCTTCCACTTGAACTTAAAGAAGCACAGAGCCTAGCAGTCTTTAAGAGGGCTCTATACAAGAAATTCTCACATGATACGGTGTTCATTCTGCATAGTTGATTTTTATCATTATCTATAATGATTCAGTTTGTTATCATGTTACTTGACTCCATAACCATACAATGCGTACTATTATCATTACTTAACTGTTGTTCTTTAGTGCAATATTATATTCAGTTAATGTATTCCTATGTTTTGGTTTAATTTATTTTTCATAGTTGATTTTTATCATTATCTATTCAGTTTTCTGTCATGTTTATTGACTTCATTACCATACAATGCTTAATTTATTTTCATAGTTGATTTTATCATTATCTATTCAGTTTTTGTCATGTTACTTGATTCCATTACCATTCAATGCTTACAATTATCATTAATGAACTGTTGTTATTTTGTGTAGTATTATACTCAGTTAATGTATACCCATGTTTTTGTTTAATTTATTTTCATAGTTGATTTATCATTATCTATTCAGTTTTTGTCATGTTACTTGACTCCATTACCATACAATGCTTATTTTATTTTGATAGTTGATTCTATCATTATCTATTTTGATTCAGTTTTTGTCATGTTACTTGACTCCATTATCATACAATGCCTACAATTATCATTAATTAACTGTTTTCCTTTTGTGTAGTATTATACTCAGTAAATGTATTCCCATGTTTTTGTTAACTTTTTTTTTTGTAGTTGATTTTTATCATTATCTTAACCATACATACATTGTGTTAAATGTTTAATAATCCAATATTGTACAGTTCTAATTGTAATTCATGTATTTTTTCATGTGCTGTTTTTATAATCAGTGCTCTGTGGAAGACCAGGTTTTTATTTTTGTATACTGAACAGACTACCCTGAATAAAGAAGTGAAATAAATAAATAAAAATAAATAAAGAAAGAAATAGATAACTGAATATAGAGCTCTTTCCCAATTAAAGCATGTAGGTCTTTGTACGTGAGCCCTAGCGTATGCGGTGCCAGTTAAATTTAATGTCAGAGGTAAAAATGTCAGAGGTAATAACGTCAGAGTTTAATAATTGACGACATGATGAGAGAGAGAGATGGGGGAGATGAGAGAGAGAGAGAGAGAGAGAGAGAGAGAGAGAGAGATGGGAGTGAGAGATAGAGAGAAAGATAGACAGTCAGACAGACAGAGAAAGAGAGAGCCTGAGAGAGATAGACAGACAGAGAAAGAGAATGAGAGAGAGAGAGTGTAGTTTTGAGGAAGAGAGGGGAGAGAAAGGAGGAAAGAATAGGAAATAGTGAGAGTGTGTGTGAGTTAAACTCAATTATAATGTCTACAAACTTTCGTTTTGTCAAAGAATAATATTGCGTGGTTTGATTTTTGACCTGTTATTGCTGGTAATAAAAAGGCATATTTTCACTTTACTGTACGTAGAAAAAATATAATGTAATTACTTATTACCAATTTTCAACTAAATTCTTTCCTGACAATAAGTTGGAGGAACATGATTTCATTTTACACATCCTTCAGTAGATTTAGGGAGAGAAAATGTATAAAAACTCTCCTCTTTGACCATGATCAACAACTTCTTTGATTATTTTTATGTAAAGCGCTGTGAAATAACAGTCGATTTATAAGAGCGCTATATAAATGATTTTATTATATTGTATTGTATTGAAACTCAATTGGCATACCTTGAGTACAAACATACTATGGTGTTTTGTAATCTAGTTTATCATCACTTAAAAAGGCGTTAGATAACAGGAGCGATTTGCATCTACGCTTCTTTCTTTTTTAATTAATTTTTGTTTTATGTATTTGTTCTTCTTTTATTTTTGCCTCTGTTTGACAAATTTATTCCAGTGCGTGTCGATTTTCATTAAAAACCCTTCAGGCCGGGCATATTAATAACTGTCATTACATAGCATGGCAGCTCTAATCACATAGATAATACTCGCTGCAGTGGTGAATACAATAAGCCAGTTCACGGTTGCAGTCTGAGCATGAACAGATAAAGGTCATTGCAGAACGAATTGTGAAATACATGGAGACGAAATACTGGATACATGCTTATGAAAGTTATGTAATTGTTATTCATTTATGCACTCAATGATACACAGGTGGAAGTATTCTTTGAAAAGAGGAAACAAAGGCTAGTTCGGAAGCACCTCCATCGCTGTAGGAGTGATTATTTCAAAATATACAAAGTGGGACCTCTTCACGTTTTGAAGATCTGTGGATATTCGGGGTCATTGCAGTAATGTGCTAACCGTGAACTGGTCTATTACCCGGAAACGTGGCGTCAATCACAGCGGATGAGTTGGACATGGGGTCATTCAACGATGTCAAATTTCATATGTATTGATTAAAAACTAAAAATACCCACAAAACCTAATGAACATGATCAGCAAGAGGCAGACAAAATTCATGTCCGAACGTTCGTGTCGAAAGTGTATATACCTCCATCGTGCAGATTACCGTCTGTGGATAGTTGTTTTGTTTGAAGGCAAACAAAATTTACAAAAATGGTATCATGATATAGTCTTTCCGTTGATGCCACAATCAAAAGGAGTTGATCATCATGGTTGAGACAAAGATCTAGAATACATTCATATCCTGCATTGCCCCCTCCACGACATACATTATGTGCAAGACAGTGTACACCTGTATATTAACAGATTTTCTGAAGAAGATGACTGGCAAAGCTACTTGCTGACCCTAGACACACAAGTGCATAGAGACGTAGCCTCCACTGAAACTTCGGGGGGGGGGGGGGTGTTCCACAAAGACTAAGATCGATTTTAAGTTGGAATTAACTATAGCAGGCCGTTCATGCCACTGGTTGCTCTCACTATTGGTCCATTTAGATATTTATGTTTTTTCCTTCAATAATGAATTATCAAAAAATGTAAATTCTGTATAGATTTGTGACCATGATTTGTACGTCCCTTGAGAGACCAATGCCAGTAAATGGTGAGAGAAAATTGTGGCATTAATGGCCTGCCATGATTAAGTCTATCTTAAAGTCGATATTAGTCTTAGTGAAACCCCCTGGAAGGCTATTCCAGTCACGATGCCTACCCCAGGCGGGAATTTGATTTATTTAATTGCTCACAATATTATATACATTTTTTTTAACGAAGTGTAAACCAAAATTTCGTCACGAATTAACCGAAAGCTCGCACTAGTAAAGGATAGCATAGTATTTGATTGAGATTTTTGTTTTCATTCTTATTTAGTTTTGTTTTAAATTCTTACTCACTTTTACGTCACTAAAAGTATGGTTTTTGTTAAAGTTTGGTCTTCCGAGTATTTTATATAAAATTCATTGTGGTAAGTAACTTAACAAAGCAAAAACACAAACAAGAATAAGAAGAAGAATAAAAAGAACAAAAAAGACGAAGAAGCAGAAGAAAAAGAAGAAAAGAAACAAGAAGAAGAAGAAGTAAAAGATGAAGAAGAAGAAGAAGAAGACAAATATACATAAGGATGAGAGATAGGACTCGAGAAGAGGTAAAATAAAACTGCTTGGATTTTCCCCAACAAAAGTCAATCATTCAACCGAAATAATAATTAGCCTTTGTAGACGAACATTATTATTAGCAGCAAAACATACAAACCATGTAGAAATTTAATTAGGCGACCTGGATATTTATTCTTGAAAGCAAAGCTAATAGAAAAAATGCTCTCTTTAAAAATTATTCATTACTGGCCTTGTCCATGTTCAGTTGGTTTGTTGCCATGGCAATTTGGCAGAAACTGATGCCATTACCCATCACATTGTTATTACTGGAATTGATTGTTAAAAAAAGACCGATGCAAACATTATGTCAAACCTATTGCCTTGATGGCGGTAATGTCAGCAAACCATCACTTAAGAATCGAGGTATAAGAAGCTTTGAAAGACCATTTGAGCAAAACGTATCGTTAAATTCAGTGGTTACCATGGCAACACCTTCCTCTTTTCTTGACGACGGTTAAACACTACGGAGTTGCATTTCATATCGATATTGTCTGGTGCGTGATTCGGATTCCCTAATTAAACATCGAACCTTAGATGATTAACGGAAGACTATTTTGTTCACCTAAAATGATGTTCTGTTCTGTTTACCGAGTTGTCGAATTACGACATTGAAGTAATGTTGCTGTCAGCAATAATAGAAAGAGTGTTCATGTAAAACCGAACTGATATTTCATTGAG